GTCGCAGTAGTTGCCGGAGTAGCAGTAAGTGTAGTTATAGTAGTAGTAGTCGTAGTAGTAGTCGTAGTCGTAGCAGTAGTAGCGGTAATAATAATAGTAGCAGTACTACTAGTATAAGTACTAGCAGTAGTAGTAGTAGTAGTAGTAGTAGTAGCAGCAGCAGTAGTAGTAGTGGTAGCGTTGGTAGTAGTAGTAGTAGTAGTAGTAGTAGTAGTAGTAGTAGTAGTAGTAGTAGTAGTAATAGTAGCAGTTGTAGTAATAGTAGTAGTAGTAGTAGTAGTAGTAGTAGTAGTAGTAGTAGTAGTAGTAGTAGTAGTAGTAGTAGTAGTAGTAGTAGCGGTGGTAGTAGTAGTAGTAGTAGTAGTAGCGGTGGTGGTAGTAGTAATAGTAGTAGCCTTCGTAGTAGTAGTAGTAGTAGTAGTAGTAGCAGTAGTAGTAGTAGTAGTAGTAGGAGTCGTCGTCGTCGTCGTCGTCGTCGTCGTAGTAGTAGTAGTAGTAGTAGTAGTAGTAGTAGTAGTAATACTACTACTCCTACTACTACTAGTAGTAGGGTTAGGAACAGGAGTCGGAGTAGGAGTCAAGTTAGCCAGCTCGAGCGAGTCAAGCATGGCATGCCCAGTCCCACCCGCCCCCCCACAACATAAGAAGCAAAGCTGGCACAACTGGGGGCCGAAGTCACACCGGCCAGCCGGTTTGGTACAGCTGATGCGGCCGCGATGGCGGTTGCCGACGGGAACTGGCGAGCGCGTGTTGAATGCCGCGCACGCATTGCCAGACGAGTCGAGAATGGCCCGGTACACCGCAGGAAGCCAGAGGTGGCCGGAGGAAGCCCGACGGTCTGACAGGACACCCCAAAGCATTTTTGTGAAAAAGCATTGGGTTTTTGATGTTTTTATGTTGAAATGCTTGCAAACACACGGCGTTCGGTAGGATTCTGACATGAACGCGCGAGTGTGCTCTTTGTAGTATTTTTTGCACAGGATTCGCGGCCTGGGTGCATGACAGAGCATCGCGAGTGCACCGCGCGATGACGCGAAATCGCTGGATTTGACCGAATTCTTAAGATTCCTATGGTTTTCCTATGATTTCAGCAAGAGAGCCCGGGCGGGAAATTTGTACAATTTTTGTGAAAAAGCATTGGGTTTTTGATGTTTTTATGTTGAAATGCTTGCAAACACAAGGTGTTCGGTAGGATTCTGACATGAACGCGCGCGTGTGCTCTTTGTGGTATTTTTTGCAATGGATTATCGCCGTGGACGACAAGACGTCCATGTCGAGAGGAAAAAATAAGAAAAATGTTGATTTTGTATTGTTTTTTACAGGTTAGGATGGGACCACCCGGATGCGGCCCCTAATGGCCGGCCTGAGGGGGGTGTAGGAGTATATTCTAATAAGGAAGAAGGATAGGAGTAAGAGTAGGAGTCTAGCCAGCTCGAGCGAGTCAAGCATGGCATGCCCAGTCCCACCCGCCCTCCCACAACATAAGAAGCAAAGCTGGCACAACTGGGGGCCGAAGTCACACCGGCCAGCCGGTTTGGTACAGCTGATGCGGCCGCGATGGCGGTTGCCGACGGGAACTGGCGAGCGCGTGTTGAATGCCGCGCACGCATTGCCAGACGAGTCGAGAATGGCCTGGTTCACCGCAGGAAGCCAGAGGTGGCCGGAGGAAGCCCGACGGTCTGACAGGACACCCCAAAGCATTTTTGTGAAAAAGCATTGGGTTTTTGATGTTTTTATGTTGAAATGCTTGCAAACACACGGTGTTCGGTAGGATTCTGACATGAACGCGCGAGTGTGCTCTTTGTAGTATTTTTTGCACAGGATTCGCGGCCTGGGTGCATGACAGAGCATCGCGAGTGCACCGCGCGATGACGTGAAATCGCTGGATTTGACAGAATTCTTAAGATTCCTATGGTTTTCCTATGATTTCAGCAAGAGAGCCCGGGCGGGAAATTTGTACAATTTTTGTGAAAAAGCATTGGGTTTTTGATGTTTTTATGTTGAAATGCTTGCAAACACACGGTGTTCGGTAGGATTCTGACATGAACGCGCGCGTGTGCTCTTTGTGGTATTTTTTGCAATGGATTATCGCCGTGGACGACAGGACGTCCATGTCGAGAGGAAAAAATAAGAAAAATGTTGATTTTGTATTGTTTTTTACAAGTTAGGATGGGACCACCCGGATGCGCCCCTATCTGCCGGCCTGAGGGGGGAGTAGGAGTATATTCTAATAAGGAATAAGGATAGTGGTAGTAGTAGTAGTAGTAGTAGCAGTAGTAGTAGTAGTAGTAGTAGTAGTAGTAGTAGTAGTAGTAGTTACTAGTACTAGTAGTAGTAGTTGTAGTTGTAGTTGTAGTTGTAGTTGTAGTTGTAGTTGTAGTTGTAGTTGTAGTTGTAGTTGTAGTTGTAGTTGTAGTTGTAGTTGTAGTTGTAGTTGTAGTTGTAGTTGTAGTTGTAGTTGTAGTTGTAGTTGTAGTTGTAGTTGTAGTCGTAGTGGTAGTGGCAGTGGCAGTGGTAGTGGTAGTGGTAGTAGTAGAAGTATGATTAGTAGTAGTAGTAGTAGTAGTAGTAGTAGTAGTAGTAGTAGGAGGAGGAGGAGGAGGAGGAGGAGGAGGAGGAGGAGGAGTCGGGCAGCCCAGGGGTCGCCGCAATCGGCAGCGGGCGGAAGGGAGGGGGATGAAAAAGACAAGGCCGTCTCAGAAGGCGGCGGGACCTTGCAAAAGCCCTCGTGCCTTCCGAGAAGTTTTCTGCGCCTTCGGGTCAGGCCCAGAAAGCTGCTCATAAGCCCCTGGGGACTGCCGAGCCCCCCCCCGGGCGCGCTGCCGAATAGCAGCAGCACGAGGAGAACACTATATACAGGAAGTGTCCGGTTCGGGCCGGTTTGGCGGCGGACCGGTTCGGTTGCAGCGGTTCGATTTCGGCGCGGGGTCCGGTTTTGGTCGGTCCGGTTTTGCCAGTCCGGGTCGGTTATGCCGGTTCGGTTCGGCGGTCGCGGGACGGTCCGGTTTTGGGGGGGCCGGTTTTGGGCCGGAGGGTGCCGGGGGGGGGGGGGCACCCTCGACCGATCCTCGGTGCTACGGCAACGGGGGGGGGGGCCGGCACCGGGGGGGGGGTGCGGAACCGGGGGGGGGGGGTGCCGGCACGGGGGGGGGGGGGTGCCGGCAACGGGGGGGGGTGCCGGCCAACGGGGGGGGAGGGAGGTGCAGGCAACCGGGGGGGGGGGGGGTGCCAGCACCGGGGGGGGGTGCCGGGCACCAGGGGGGGATGGTGCCGCACCGGTGGGGGGGGTGCGGCACGGGGGGGGGTTGCCGGCCACGGGGAGGGGGGTGCCGGCACCGGGGGGGGGGGGTGACGGTCACACGAGGGGGGAGGTGCCGGCACCGGGGGTGGGGGGGGGGGTGCCGGGCACCGGGGTGGTGGTGCCGGCCAACGGGGGGGGGTGGGGGGGTGCCGGCACCGGGGAGGGGGGGGGGTGCAGCACCGGGGGGGGGGGTGCTGGCACCGGGGGGGGGGGGTGGGGTGCCGGGCAAAAAAATTACCGGAAGAAACACAACAAAAACAAAAAAAATAAACCGGGCGGGGGGGCGGTGCCGGCACCGGGGCTTTTGTCTTTCTTTTTTTCTTTTTTTTTTCTTTTTTTTTTTTTATTTTTTTTCTGGGGGCTTTCTTGGGCCGGTGGGGAGTCCCGGGGCCCGGTTCGGTTCCACCCGGTTCGGGCATGCCGAACGGGCCGGTTTCGACCGGCCGGTTCGGTTCGAACCGCCCGGTCCGGTTTCAGCCGGGCCGGTTCGGGCTCCGGTTCGGGCGGTTCGGTTGCAGGAGCCGCCGGTTCACGGTTACCAGTTCGGTTCGGACTCTTCTTATATATATATATATATATATATGTATATATATATATATATATATATATATATATATATTTCCAAGAGTAAAATAAAAAAAATCGCGCGCGAGGCGGCCACGGGCGGCCACCAGATGGAAGCCCCGAAGGCTCAGCCAGCGCAGGGGGGACGGCCACGGCGGGCACCGCGCGATTGCTCAACGGCCAAGAAAGAAATCGCTCGGTGCAAGCGCTGTCCGGGCCGAGTGTGAAAGAGGAGCAGCCAGGATCGGCCATGCGCAGAAGGGGGTCATGGGGGAGGAGGGGAGGCTTCTGAGAAGCACCCGTGCTTCTTGGAAGGCGAATGCCTTGTCCGTAGATGGAAGGCCGGCGCCGTGTAGGAAGCAGGGGTGTTTCTGAGAAGCCGTCCCCCTGCGCTTATCCTGTCTGTTCGCGCCGCCAAAAAAGAGGAGCAATCACGAACCCCATGGAGCAGCCGAACCATGCATATCCGCGGCAGTTGGGTGCAAAAGCGGTTCCAGCATGACCAAGTACACCGACGGAATTCAGGTGCCAAGGGAGCGGCCATGAACAGCCATAATCACCTGTACGACAAGACACACGCACCGCACAGGGCAACGCTTAAGATTGCCAAAAGCCATCATGTACAACCATTATGTGTGGAATGAAACGTTCATGTGCAGCCACGAGCCGAAGGCCTGAATCAAACGTCATTGCAACATTCCCGTGCCCATAACGTTCGCACGCTGTCAGCAGGGGGAGAAGATACAGGCATGAGAAGGTGATACAAAGCTGGCCGAGAGTAGGGCATCAGAGGCGGAGGATGTGGAGGAAGAGGAGGAGGAGGAGGAGGAAGAGGAGGAGGAGAAGATACTGGGGGAGGGCCAGGAGGAGGAAGAGGGAAGGGCGGAATGGGATGGGGAGGGGGAGAGGGAGGGAGGGGATCAAGAGAGGGGGGGACAGAGGGAGTGAGGGGGAACCGGGCGGGCAGAGGTGATAGTGATGGATGGGGGGTGGATGGATGGGGGAGGGATGAAAATGGGTTGGAGGAGGAGGAGGAAGGAAGAGGAGCAGTAGCACAAGCAGCAGAAGGACAGTCTGCAGCCAACTGCCTCCTCGCCATGATTCCCCGCCATGCTGGGTCCCGCGACGCCGCGAGGTCAAGGGGAGCAAGGCCTCCAGCAGAAGCCAGCCGAAGAGCGTTCAGGCGCCCACCCAGCCTCAGCAAGGGCTGACGGCGTCCCGCGAGTGTACCCAAGGGAGGAGCAGGAGAAGGAGGAGGAAGAAGAGGAGGAGGGGGAGGAGGAGAAGGAGGAAGCGGAGGAGGAGGGAACTGCTCGTCCTGAGGCATGGGTGCCGCCGTCGAAACCAGACTTGCACCATGTACCGATCCTGCACAGCCGTGCTGCACGCGAACGCGCACGGCGAGCCAACATCTCGGAGGGCGTGCCCGGTGTCGCAGGCAGCCGATCACGGCGCGGCACGCCACGACGCGCGGGCGCGGCACGGGACAGCACGCGGCGAGACATTCTCACAGAGGTCGGCCACGGCCAGGCACGCGGGCACGGCACGGCATGGCGCGGCACGTGCTTCGCAGTCTCCGGCGCGGCACGCCACGGCACGGCGCGGCACGTTTTGGCAGTCTAGAGCCTGGGGCACGGCACGCGGCACGCGGGCGCAGCACGGCACGGCACGGCACACTGTCGCAGTCTAGGATCTGGACGTTGTCCCGCACGCGGGTGCGGAACAGCACAGTTTACGCTTTCGATAGGGTTTAGGCGCCGCGCGGCCTGGCACACTTGGCGCATTCTCTGGAACTTAGGCGCGGGACGGCATGGCACGCGCGCGGCACAGCATGACACATTCTCGCATTCTGGGATGTGGCATGGCAGGGCACGCAGGCACGGCGCCGCACGGCTCGTGAGTGGTACGATGCAACACATGGTCAGCACGATGCGGCAACGTTTGCACATTCTGATACCAGCCACGCCAAAGGACGGCATGCTCTCGCTTTCTGACGACAACCAGGCGCGGCTCGGACGGCATGGCACGGCAAAAGCGCATTCCGAAAACCATGCACGGCACACGGACACGTCACGGCAATTTGCCCGCATTCTAGAATCCAAGCAGGGCGCTGGACGCGGGCACGGCACGGCACGCGGCCACGGGCTTTCTCTTTCCACGGGCCCATGGCGGCACGCGGGCACGGCAAGGTCAGGTTCGACAATTGTTCCGCTCTCCAGAAACCAAGCGCCGCACGGCACGGCACGCGGGCACGGCACGGGCACGACCCGGCACGGCACAGTATTGTTCGGGCCTTGTCGAAACCAGAATGAACTACATCCTCAAACCAGTAACCGGGCACGACACGGCAACTGTTCCGCAGCCTGAACACACGGCACGGCACGACATGTGTGCACAGTCTGGACAACCAGGCGTGGCACAGCACGGCCTCGGCAAACAATCTGCATCCAAGGAACCGAGCGCGGCACGCGGGCGGCACGTCACGGTACGGTTGGCCGAAGATGTGGATTCTAGAAAACAAGCGCGGCACATCACGCGCACGGCACGGCCGCCCGACTGAAAATCTGTATTCCCGAAGAGACGAGCACGGCACGGCGTTCGCGCGTGGGCGACATGGCATTGTCTGGCATCGGTGGCAGCAAGTCAGCGTTCTACACAATGCGCACGGCACGGCACATCGGCGGCATGGCACAGTACGGCACGACCAGTATAACAGCTGCATTTTAGAAACCGAACATGGCACACTACGCGGGCGGCACGGCATGGCACGGCCAGTGGCAGCAGAGTAGTCTTCTCGAAGCCGAGCGCGACGCGCACAGAAGGAGCCTCCAGGGGCGGGGGCGCGTCTTGGGGTCGTCTGGGAGGCTTCTTGGGGCCTCCTGAGAGCTTCTCGGGGGCGAGGGCTCGATAGTGCGTTCGGGTCCCCCGTCTGGGCACCCTCTTGGAGCCGTCTTGGGTGCCTCTTGGCCTGTCTTGGAGGCGTCTCGGGCCGTCTTGGGACCCTCTTGTGCCATTTTGGGAACCTCTTGGAGGACTTTGGGCCGTCTTGGAACGATCTTGGGGACCCCTTGGGCCGTCTCGGAGCGTCGGGAAGCAGAAGAGGCGAAAACCTAAGGGAACTGTATGAAATTCGCTTCTTGGGGCCTCCTTGGGGGGTGCTCCTGGAGTTCTCTTGAGGCGTCTTGCAGGCTCCAGGGGCCGTCTGGAGGCCGTCAAGGCGTTTTGGATCGATCGTTCGGCGATTCGGGGCCCTCTTGGACCGTCGTGGGGGCCTCTTCGGGCACTCTTGGCCCGTCCTGGGCATTATTTGGGACCCAGGACCCCCCTGGAGGGAGTCGTATTTTGGTGGCGTTTCCCACCGGGACCCCCCCCCTGGAGGGAGTCGTATTTGGGTGGCGACCCCATCCCGGGGCCCCCACCCATAAAAGCGCGCGAACGCCCCATAGGTCCGTTCCCGTTCCCGTTCCCGTTCCCGTTCCCGTTCCCCTTCCCGTTCCCGTTCCCGTTCCCGGTCGCGTTCCCGGTCGCGTTCCCGGTGGCGTTCCCGTCTACCCCCCTAAGCCTTCTAGACGACCCAAGAAGCGGGAACGACAACGGGAACGGCAGCCTCCCACGGCCTCCCAGACGACCTCCCCAGAGGCCTTCCAGACGGCTTAGGACGGCCTCCGTGACGACCCAAGAGACCTCCCAGGGCCTCCTCCTCCACCACCACCACTACCACCACCACGACCACCACCACTACCACCACCACCACCACCACCACCACCACCACCACCACCACCACCACCACCACCACCACCACCACCACCACCACCACCCCCGCCACCACCACCACGACTACTACTACGACTACGACTACGACTACGACTACTCCGACTACGACTACTACTACTACTACTACTACTACTACTACTACTACTACTACTACTACTACTACTACTACTACTACTACTACTACTACTACTACTACTACTACTACTACTACTACTACTACTACTACTACTACTACTACTACTACTACTACTACTACTACTACTACTACTACTACTACTACTACTACTAACTACTACTACTACTACTACTACTACTACTACTACTACTACTACTACTACTACTACTACTACTACTACTACTACTACTACTACTACTACTACTACTACTACTACTACTACTACTACTACTACTACTACTACTACTACTACTACTACTACTACTACTACTACTACTACTACTACTACTACTACTACTACTACTACTACTACTACTACTACTACTACTACTACTACTACTACTACTACTACTACTACTACTACTACTACTACTACTACTACTACTACTACTACTACTACTACTACTACTACTACTACTACTACTACTACTACTACTACTACTACTACTACTACTACTACTACTACTACTACTACTACTACTACTACTACTACTACTACTATCCCCACCACTACTATTCCTCGTCCTCCTCTTCCCTCCTCGTCCTCTATCCTGCTCCTCACCCATCTTCCGTCCCCGAGTGTTTTCCCCAAGGGTTTCAAAAGCGGCTGGGGAAACACTTGGTCCAACACTTGGGCCACACTTCGCCGTAACGCTTGGCCGCATCGGCGTTTCCAAAAGGCAAGGGGCGGCGGTGATTCGCCGTAGGCGTCTGACAGAGACCTTCAGAGTCCCAGAAGACCCCCAAGTCCCCCCCCCTGACGTCCCCAAGAAGACCCTTACGGGCCCCAAGAGACATGAAACATGCTTCCAAGAGGCCCCCGAGAGGCCTCTCAGGAGAGCCCAACAAACCTCCAAGCGTCCGCGGCCTTTCTGGAGCCTCCCTCTTGACCCCCCTTCAGGGTGGACGGAGAGAGACAGAGAGAGGGCGAGAGAGAGAGAGAGGACGAGAGAGAGAGAGAGGACGAGAGAGAGAGAGAGAGGACGAGAGAGAGAGAGGACGAGAGAGAGAGAGAGGACGAGAGAGAAAGAGATGACGAGAGAGAGAGAGAGAGAGATAGGGAGGACGAGAGAACGGGAAAGGGAGCGGGAACGGGAACGGGAACGGGAACGGGAACGGACTCCTGGGGCGTTCACTTTTTTTTACGCCCCCCCCCCCCCCCCCCGGGACCACCCCTGGGACCTCCCCTTGGACCCCCTCCCGAGGGAGGGATCAAAAGGAGGAGGTTCCCTTCGATTGAATTACGACGTTATTCTATTTCGCTTAGGCTGGCGCGCCTGGGGAGGAGGGCCCAGGAAAAGGGGGGGAGCGACGGGCCTAGGGAAATGGGTGCCTCAGGGAAAAGAGCTGGCAGAGACGACGACTAACAAATGACGGGGAGGACGACTCGAACGGACAAACCCATACACACGCGAACAGGATCGGCGGATTATCAGAGTGAGGGGGCCGAACGATCATTCATTGTCCCAGGGTGCGTGGTTGGAGTTGGTTTCCGCGGTGAGGATTGTTGTTGGTGTTATTGTCGTTGTTGTTGCTGGTGGTGGTGGTGTTGGTGTTGTTGTGTGTGATGTTGATGTAGATGTTGGTGGTATAGTTGGTGATGGTGGTGGTGATGTTGTTGTTAGTGTTGTTGTTGCTGTTGCTGATGTTGCTGCTGTTGCTGCTGCAGCTGCTGTTGATGTTGTTGGTGTTGGTGTTGTGGTTGTGGTTGTGTTTGCTGTTGGATGATGCTGGTGGTGTTGTTTATTATGTTGCTGTTGTTGTTTGAATTTTCATGTCTACATAATAAGTTCGGTTGTTGCTGATCCCCCCCTCCGGTGACCATTGTATGTGTCAATGAAAGTTGCTTCACCCAGGGCTCGCACAGTGTTTGGGATCTACGTGTTCAATGGCACGCGAGCAAATAAGAGCGAACAGTCTTCACATGAGTGTTGCTGTTGCTGTTGTTGTGGTGTTGTTGTTGTTGGTGGTGGTGTTGGTGATGTTATTGCTGCTGTTGTTGGTATTAGTGTTGTTGCTGCCTTTGCCGATGCTGTTGTTGTCGTTGCTGCTGTGGTCGGTGTTGTTGTTGTCGTTGTTGTTGGTGGTGTTGTTGGTGCTGCTGGTGGCGCTTGGTGATGTTGTTGATGATGATGTTGGTGTGTGTTGTCGTCACGCCCGCGACCAACCCTCGACCCCCCCAGCGAGCTCCCCGCGACCCACCCGCGACCCACCCGCGACCCACCCGCGATCCACCCGCGATCCACCTCGCGACCCACCAGCGACCCAGCCGCGACCCACCCTCGAATCACCGCGCGACCCGCCCGCGACCCACCCGCGACCCACCCGCGACCAACCCGCAACCCACCCGCGACCCTCGCGCGACCCACCCGCGACCCGCCCGCGACCCACGCGCGGCCCACCCGCGACCCACCCGCAACCCACCCGCGACCCACGCGCGACCCACCCGCGACCCGCCCGCGACCCACGCGCGGCCCACGCGCGACCAACGCGCGACCCACCCGCGACCGACCCGCGACCCACCAGCGACCCACCCGCGACCCGCCCGCGACCCACCCAGCGACCCACCCGCGACTCGCACGCGACCCACCCGCAACCCACTTCGCTCCCGCCCCCTCATTCTGATTTGCAACTGCGGGGTGCTTTTATATAACATAGCATGGTATGGCACGGCGTCGCATCACATAGCGCAGGAGGCCGTTCGAGGGAGTGGTCCTTTTGCAGAGCTTCTTGCGAACCTCCTCAAGGATAGCACAGAGGTTTCAAGAGAGTCTCTGAAGGCCCTCTTACGAGCTTCTGCTAAGCTTCTGAGGAGCACTTGGGAAGCCTCTGAAACGGCTCCGAGGGGCTGCTTAACAGGTTCTACAACACAAAAGGCCACCAGGACACCGAAAGCCCCGCTGAGGCACACCGCCAGCCCTAACGAGGTACCGAAGGCCCCAGCGGGACAAACCGAAAGCCCTAACGGTTCACAGAACATTTTCAGGAAGGGAAAAGGAGGGAAGCGGATGGGGGGAGGGAGGGGCGGGACGGGGTGAGGAGACAGGAGGGAGGGAGGGAGGAGTGAGGGAGGGAGGAGGAAGGAGGAGAGGGGGAGGAGGAGGGAGGGGAAACGGGCGAGGAGGAAAGGAGGAGGGACGGAGAGGGGGAGGGAGGAAGGGAGGGAGGAGGGCGGGATGGAGGGAGGAGGGGGGAAGAGAGAGGGAGGACGGGAGAGGAGGGCGGCGAGGGAGGAGGGCGGCGGCGGCGGCGGCCGCGAGCATCGGCGAGGCCGCGGAGCTGCGGGCCAGGGCGCTGCAGAAGCAGGCCCCGCGAGCGGGCGGCGCCCGCCGCGGGTCCGAGCACATGTCAGGCGCCAAACGGAGGCCCCCAGAGGCACCCAAGACGCCCCCAGTGGCCTGAGGCCCAGATCACTGATGTGAATATGGTTATGGCCACAGTTTGGCCTCCTGATAGGGCGGGGGTCTGATTGAGGAGTCCCCCATGCTGGGATCGATCTCCTCCGAGATGGCCCCAAGACGCCAAACCACCCCAATCCGACCTGAACGCCCCAACTTGCCCTCCATTCCCAGGGGGGGCATCGGGGAACAGTGAAAAGACTTTATGGAGCCGGTACACGCCGGTTGTTGAAAGTAGGTATTCCGGGATTCCTAGATCCTAAGCCGCCTTCCTACTTCAAGTGTCGAGCGGATTACCCTTTCTACCTCCTCTTCAGGGGGCGGGCGGAAGCCCAATCTATTTCCAACGCCTTGCTACGTCATGTTTCTACCCACTTCTTCCGACCGACGGGGACCCTCCCCAACCCCAAGATTTGGGGTGTTCGGGTCTGGTCGTGGTCGTCTGGTAGGTCGTCAGGGTGGAATCCGCCGGGCGTTCCATTGTCGGGGGGAGGGAGGCGACAGACCCAGGCCAACATCTCGAGAAGGAGGAGGAGGAGGAGGACAGGGACAGGGAGGAGGAGGAACATCTCGAGAAGTTCAAAAACGTGAACGCGTTCCGCAGCTTTTGGCCGCTGCGGTTCTCGCCGCGCCGCGGGACCCGAACAAAAACGTGAGGGTCGACTACACGTAGGAATGACCCCGGAGTGATCTCTGCTGTGGACCCAAAGGGGTCCTCTTCTTCCTCCTCCTCCTCCTCCTCATCCTCCTCCTCCTCATCATCGTCGTCGTCGTCATCATCATCATCATCATCATCATCATCAGCAGCAGCATCATCATCATCATCATCATCATCATCGTCGTCGTCGTCATCATCCCCCCCCTCCGTGGCCATTTTGGCTCAAGTTCGAGTCCTTGCCGCGAGGTTTCGAGTTTGTCAGCAGCTGTGCGGCAGGCCTGAGGTGCCAGTCTCGAGAGAGTGTAGGACCGACACAGGCTCCCCAGGCCCAGAAACGGCAGCACACTGGCCGCCTCGATTGATACAGGCGTCGGATGTCCGCATCCTGCGCGACCCAGCAGCGCGCAGGCGGGTGGCTGGAAGGTGGCAGGCAGTGGCAGGAAAGCACCCGTTGTCGCGCGGGGTGTATCAGGGCAGCGGCGGAAAGGCGCCAGCTTCTTGCATCGATCAAGGTCCCCGTCTACGGAGTGAGGTTGCGAAGGGCCGGGGGCGAGGAGGGTGGAGGCCCAGACCTCCAGGACATTGAACAAACGTATCGCTTGGACTGCCCACCAACTTCGGCTTCCAGGAGCAGGCCCTGAGGCCGTCAAGATGCGACCTTAGGCTGAACAGTTCGCCCCTGGGCAGGGGTCCAGACCTCGGGGCCCAGGCTTGGAAAGAGTAACGATGTCGGGTATTAGGGGAGGAGGTTTCCCTCGTCGGTGCACCTTTCACAGAGGCACCTCGCGTGCTGGTTCCTGCAGAGGCCAGGGGCAGTGAAGTGTTGGCTCCACAGCTTCCGGCTCTCCCCAAGAAAGATGGAGCGGCCCCGAGTCTCATGATGACGACGACGATGTCGACGACGACGACGACGACGACGACGATAGCGACGATGACAATTTCTGGTGGTGTGCTGCTGCGCGTGTCACGGCGCAGCCTGAGTTTCTCGTCAAAGTGGTCCCAAGTTTCTCGTCCAATTGGCGGGCAGCCGCTCTCGTGATTGTAGCCAGTTGCCCAGGAACCGGGGCGTCATTGTGAGATTGTAGTTTTCTCCGTCTCGCGTTGGGAAGAGGATGGGATAGAAGAGGATGGTGAGGAGGGAGGAGGATGGGATAGAAGAGGATGCAAGAGAACGGGATACAAGAGGAGGGAGGGGAGAGGAGGAGGCAAGAGGATGGGATCAGAGAGGAAAGTGAAGGACGAACAGGCGGAGGAGCAGCAGGAGCAGGGGAAGGAAAACAGCACACAGGAGAAGGAACAGCAGGAGAGGGAGGGGGAGGAGGTGGAGAGTTGCAGAGCCAGTGAGGACGAGCCTGGGGAACACGAGGAACAGCAGCAGGACGAGCAGCAGGAGGAGGATCATCCTGAGCAGGAACTGGGAAGGAATAGGAGAGGCACGAGCAGCAGCGGGAGGAGGAGGAGGAGGAGGAGGAGAAACAGGAGGAGGAGGAGGAGGAGGGGGAAGAGGAGGAGGAGTACTAGGCCACGAAGACGACCGCGACGACGACGCCGACGACGACGACGACGAGGAGAGCGACGACGACGCGAGTAACGACGATGACGACGACAACCGCCGACGACGACGAATACGACGACGGACGACGACGACGACGACGATGACGACGAGGTCGACGACGGACGACGGACGACGGACGACGGATGGGGGACGACGGCGATGGCGACGGCGATTGCGACGGCGACGGCGAGGTCGACGGCGACGGCGAGGGCGACGGCGAGGGCGACGACGACGACGACGACGACGACGACGACGACGACGACGACGACGGCGACGACGACGACGACAACGCCCACGACGAAGACGGCGACCTTGACGGCGACGAGGGCCCCGGGCGCAGGCGGCGCTCCGGGAGGAGCTGCTGCACCTGAGCGCGGCGCGCGTGCTGTCGGCGCGATTGGGGCCCTGGCCGAGAGGCTGGCGCCCTGTGCGGCTGCTGGCGTCGGCGACGTCGTCGGCGTCGTTTTCGTCCCGCTCCTGCTCGTCCTCCGCCTCCTGCGCGTCCTGCTCCTGCTCCTCCTCCTGCTCCTCCAGCTCCTCCTCCAGCCTGGGGTCCGCCCGCATGAGGCGTCCAGGAGGGCCTGACCGCTCGCGTGCATGAAAGCCCGCCTGCCCACCTGAATGACTCGACTGCCCGACCCGCCCGCTAGGGCCTGCATCGCCCGCGCGTCAGGGTCCGCCCGCCCATCCCGCCTGTCAGCGTCCGCTCGCTCGTTTGCATGAGCAGCCGTCCGCAAGCCCGTTGGGGTCTGTCCGCCTGGCCCGCCCGTTCGAGTCCAACCGCTCGCTTGGGCGGCTGTGTGTGCGTCGGCGCCGTCGTCTCTTGCTGGCTCCACCCCCCTTGCATGAAGGGATGGGGGGGTGAAAGCTGAGCCACATGGAAAACCAATATAACAATCAGTTTGTGACGTTGAGAAGGCAAGGCTGCGTCGTCGAAGTATGCCATCCGTCTCGGGGTGGTGGTAACCACTTTTGCACAGCCAGGTTTGGCCGCTTCGTCCATTCGGATATTGCCTGCAGGCGCGATAGGATGCGACTCTTCTCTGCAGATGCTACGTTTGCTTCGATTGAGTTGGTCTCATCGACCCGTTCTTGGCTTCCCCCTCTTGCACCCCTTGCTCCTCCCTTCTCCCCGGGGAGGAGCGGGACGAACAGGAGGAGCAGGGAGGGCGGAGGGAGGAGAGGGGAGGAGTGCGGAGGAGTTGAGATGTTTGAAGGAAGGGAGGGGGCAAGGGGGGAGTAAGGGAGGAGCAGGGAGGTTGGAAGAAGAAGGGAGGAGGAGAAGGCGGGCATAAGCGAGGGTTGAGCAGGACGAGGGGAACGAGTAAACGAAGGATGGTGAGGAGGAGGAGGAGGAGGAGGAGGAGGAGGTCGAGAAGGAACATCAGCGGGGTACATTGGAAAGGGGGAGAGGGAGGAAAAGGAGGAGAAGGAGAACACGGATGAGGAGGAATATGCGGGCATCCAGCCATGACACCTCACCGAGTTGCAGTTATCGTTCTTCTCTTCGATCAGCCACGCGTCGCATCGGTGGAAGCATTTCTCCCAACCACCCAGCCGCGCCCAGGCTCTCCCCCTGCAGAAGCCGATAGAGCGAAGGTGCTGGAGGCGGCCAATTGCTGCGCCGCGAGGAGATCGGCTTGAAGCATCCGTGTCGGTTGCGAGGACATTCGCGCCTAAGCATCCCGCGCGTGAGGTCGGGTGCAGGCGGGTTGTTGTCCACGTATTCTGCGCGTTGGCGGTCTGCGTGAGCCATCGCGTGAAGTGCCCATGACCCCGCGTGGAAGACCTTTTGTTCTTTCGCAGCTTCAGCGCCAGAAGCAGGAGCCCCCCAGGCGCAGTGCAGTCGAAGCACGTCTCGGGTGGTGATCCGATCGGCTCCTGACCAGCATCGTTATTGCACGGTGCAGCTTGTGCACTAGCTGGCGCGCGGCGACGCACTGCTTATTGCTCCAGGGAGTTCAGAGGCCACCTTGTAAACCAACGCCCTTTTTGCGTGCCGAGCAATATCCGTGTGGCCTCTGTCACAGACGTAACAATATTCATGGGTCTTTGTTGCAGCTCCATGCGTTGTTCCGAGCACAGCGGCATCGACGTGCCTCTCGCCATGGTTTTCGGTTATCTTGATGCCCAGGATGAGTCCATTTGTATTCCCCGAGTCTTCTCACCTGGGTGAAATTGTGCTCGTTTGCACATGAGTCGCACAATGGTTTGCATTATAGGCTTGTGGATTGCCCGAGGTATCCCATCCCCAGGGGTATGGGTGAAATTGCGTTCGTGGTTGCAATTGTGAGATTGCATTCTTCTCTGTGCTAGATCGGACTCTTCCACTCCCTTATGTACATTATTACGCTCGCAAGGCGGCGATGCAGGAGAAGGCACTGGGAACTCTGCTGCGCTGGGCGAGGATTGGTGGCGACGTGGTCAGCAGACAGAGGGGGTACCAGGCGCAGTATGTCTGACGGTGTCTCGGAGGGTCAACACGCAGTTTGATATGTTATCAGTTCGTAGCACTCTTCTGGCTGCAGTGTCGTTGAAGGGTCAAGCGCGACGCGTCCAACACGCGTCGGTCATTCGGGGGTGCATCTGAAGCCTTGCCGGTATTGCTGCCGGCTCGTGTCCGTTTCCCAGCGTCAGCACATCAGCGTATGCTTTTTTATTTACCAGGCCTGCTGTTTCACCTGGTCGCGGCCGATCTCGATGCCATTCCACATCGTTCTGTCACATGTGGACTCAGCTGGGGAAAAGTGAAAGAGTGGGCGCAGCGCTCTCAGATGGGGCCGTGCACGCCTAATTAGAAGCGGATCGATCAGAGGTTCGGGTCGGCTATTCGATGGTCTAGTCGTGTCCCTTGGGGCACTTTCTAGCGCCCTGCGAGGTTCTTGATTCAACCTCTGTGGTCGGCGAAGAAGAGGCCGGAGGAGGAGGAGCAGGAGGAAGGAGGAGGAGGAGGAGGAGGAGGACAAAAACGCTGCTGGCGCCCTTGCCTCGGGCACCGCCGCCTTCTCCATCGATTCCCAGATGTTCGCAGTCGAAGCTTGCAGGCCCGCGCCCCTTCGCCGCAGCTTGCGTCACAAGGTCGGCCATGCACGGCGGGCTTGTGGGGGGTGGGGGCGCTCGGGCCAGACGGAAGGGCAGGATGCGGTCGGACCGAGGTAGAAGATTGAGGTCGCTTCGGGGAGGCTGCCCTCATGTTCTTCGTGTTTGTTGGATGCTCTTGTGCATCCTGGGGGAGGGCACCCTCGAGCGATCCTCTGGTTTGAGGTGCTCTTTGGCCGTCGGAGGGTCTCACGTTCTTGAAGGATGTTCTTCTGCCAGAGGTCCGACCGTATAGGGCAAAGGGGGGCACCGAGAGCTGCTGCATGCAGCTGGCTTCGGCCCCGCCGCCGGGCCGGTTGCCTTCACGCATGGGCGCCTCCCGGCGCTTCGAGGCGCCGGGGAAGCTGGCCTCGTGAGTTGGCCCTCTGCCCAATACGTAAGTCGGGCCTGTCCCTCTGCAGGAGGAAGGTTCAAGCATAGTAAACAACTAGTCTGGGGACGATCTGTTTTATGATGTTTGGCCATTTGGGGGGATCCTTTTTGAGTATTCTTCAGCTTTCGCCCAAAATTTCCCTTGTAGGGGGACACGCACGACTTAACCCTATATACCCTCTGCTGTCCTGCCCCTCGCCCGCCCCCGCCCCGAGCCGAGCGGCCGCGCGCGGCTCGCCCCTGCTGGAACCGGGCTCCTGCCGGCCCCCGCCTGGCCGCAGGCGCTGCAGACCCGCAGCGGTCGGCCGCCGGCGCCAACGTGGGCAGGCGGCGTGCTGCGCCCCCACCCGGCGAACACGGGGAGGGAGGGGGGGGAGGGAGGGGGGGGGGGGGGGGGGAGGGAGGGGGGGAGGGAGGGAGGGAGGAGGGAGGGAGGGAAGAGGGGGGGAGGGAGGTGGAGGGGGGGAGGGGGGGAGGGAGGGGGGAGGGCCCCTGCAGAGTCTGGCACCCCAGAGGCCGGGACTCTGCAGGCTATATGGCTCTGCCAGATCTCCGGGCGGGGGAGGGCGGAGCACGGAGGGCGCGTCGGCCCACGGCTGCAGCTGCTTCTCGGAGTCTCTGCAGCCGCGCGCAGGAGGGGGTTCCGGGAGGAGGAGGAGGAGGAGGAGGAGGAGGAGGAGGAGGGGTTCGGGGGGGAGGGGGGGAGAGGCTCCTTGGAGGCATGCCTGCTTCTGACAGGGCGCGTGCCTTGTATTGGGCCGGGCTCGACCTGAACGGTGTTTGGCCGATTTCGGGAACCGTTGTCGTCGAGGTCTTACTTTGTTTTGCAATGAAGGCGAAACGAAGACAAAACGATGGAAAACTGAACCAAAACGAAGAACGAAAAAGACTGTTCAGGTCGATCCCTGGTATCAGGTGCAGGGCCAGCGCCTTCTAAGAGGCAGCCTCCCTCTAAGGAGCCTCCTCCCCTCCCCCTAAACCACCCTCTGCGCGTCGCCAATCTCCAGTGACTTGCTTCATCAGGGTCCTTGTTCACGAGGCTCTGATGGAGTTTGGCGAGACCGTTCTCGTTGCGTGCTGGGCTCCGGCCGAGACGTCGGCCAGGGTCCAGCATCTTCGAGAGTCTGCGGCCACTGGGGTCGATGGGGGGGAGACAAGCCGGACCCGGGCAGATTTGGAAACCAGAAGGTGCGGATCCCCCCGCGTTTCTCGCGAAAGGAGGACGTACGCATACATGCATCCACGTCGGTTTCGAGAGTGTTCATTGCGCGAGCGTTCGTATCGCCAGGCTGGTCTCGCGGACGGGGGGGGCCGTGCTCATGTACGTGGTCGGGCGCGTGCGCCTTCTATGGGCTCCCCACGGAGGTACCAGATCCCCTCGCGCTCCTCGCACTCGCCTCTCGCGCGCCGCTGACATCGAATGTCTGTTTCGCGCTCATTCGCAGCTCAGTTATTTTTCCTTCGTCGTGTCGCACGCCCCCCCCGTTCCCCCGCACCATGCAGCGCTTCGGCCTCGGCGCAATCGCCTGCGCTGGCCCATTGCACTTCCCTGTTGTGTCCTTCCCTTTGGCAGCTGAACTCCATCTCGAGCTTGCCGGGCACTGCCTTGTCGGGGTCGGTGGCCCGCTCTGTCGTGAGTGCGTGGGCTTTGGGGGGGGGCGACCAGGAGCGGCGGACGGCGACACCAGTGGAGCCATCGAACTCTACGACGATGGGAGCAGACGATGAGGAAAGAAGTGCGATTGACGTCTCAGATGCAGCAGTGCCCCCTCTCTGCGTGCGCTGGCTTTTTCAGAACACTCGACTTTCGGGCGTCAGTCGTTGAGATCAGGCGAGGGTGAGTTTGACCAGGTAGTGCGAGCAGCGCATGGCAGCACGTACAGAGGAAGAGAAGGAGGAGGAGGAGGAGGAGGAGGAGTAGAAGGAGGAAGAGGAAGAGAGAGGGGGAGGAAGAGCTGGACCAGCGACAGATGCCGAGAAGGATGCGGAGGAGGAGGAGGAGGAAAAGGAGGAGCTGGAGGAGGAGAAAGAAGGAGGAGGGGGAGGACAACCTGGACCAGCGCGTAGCGCGCATCTGGAGGAAGCAGTTCCCTTCAAAGTGTGGCGCGCGTGCTGAGATACACATCAGGCAAGACAATATGCCATCCTGATTACTATGGTCTGGTGTGCTCTATAGGTGCTCAAGTTCACGATGTGTTCGCATCTGAATCGTCTGCGCACGTACAGCAACTTATCATTTATCATACTGTTCCGCCTGATGCTCCCACTTTTCCTCTCCTCCACCACCAACAGCATCAGCATCATCATCACCATCATCACCATCAGCATCAACATCACCATCATCAGCATCATCGTCATCATCACCATCAATATCATTACCATCATCCTCGTCGTCGCCGCCATCATCTTCATAATCATCATCATCACCATCATCCTCATCGTCATCGTCATCATCATCATCACCATCATCCTCATCGTCGTCGTTGTCACTATCATCATCATCTTCATCATCATCAGCAGCATCATCATCATCACCATCACCATCACCATCACCATCACAATCATCATCATCATCATCATCATCATCATCATCATCATCATCATCATCATCATCATCATCATCATCATCATCATCATCATCATCATCATAAGCATCATCATCATTATTATCATCAGCATCATCAGCATCATCATCGCCATCATCATCATCGTCGTCATCATCACCCCTACTACCTTCATCATTCTTGTCACCTTTTCATCCCGTACCGAAGTTGTTTGTTCACGCTGTCCCGTTTCCTTCAGGCAGGCCTGCCATGCTGCGCGCCCCCCCTTCTCTCGCGATCGCAGGGTTGCGGGCAAGTTGCGGAGGAGATTGAAGCCCCTCGCCGAGGGCCACGAGAGGGGCCCTCGTCGCACCCCGTGTCTGTCCAGCCAGGTCAGCTGGAGAGCCTGGTCAGGACGCTGGCGGAGGAGGTCGAGAACATCGCCCCACAGGCGAAGGAGCCGCGGACAGTCACGGCGCGTCGGAGGCCCACGGGTGTTCCAGACCTGGCTCGCACCGGGCGCACGACATCCCCACGATGTGGACGAGGATCTTTGCAGCGTCCCCGCCCCTGGCGGCGCCCCCTCGGGGTGCTCGAATGCCACGCCTGCTAGTTCGCGGCGAGCAGTGGCCCACCACACGAGAGAAGCCTGGGGGACAGAAGCGGGCAAGCCGCTTCGGGCATCCCCGCAATCGGGGGAAACATTTCGGAGTATCCCCACCTTTGCGGCGGCTCCCCCTCGGGGTGCCCAAATGTCGCGCCTGCTATATCGCTGTAAGTAGTGAGCCACCAAATGACAAACTTCTGGGGGGCAGAAAGAGGCACGCCGCCTGACACATGCCCACGATCTTGGCGCGAATCTTAGAGTGTCCCTCCCTGGCGGCCCCCATTGGACTGTCCAAGTGCCGCGCCTGCTGCATCGCGGTGATCATTGACCACACCAAAACACAAAAGTCTATTGGTTATCAACAGGCAAGCCGCTTGAGAAATCCCCATGGTCTTGGCGCGAACCTTGGTGTGTCCCCGCCCTTGGCGGCCCACCACCCTTGGGGTGCATAAGTGCCACGCCTGCTGCATCGCAGTGAGCAGTGGACCACCAGAAAAGTCTGAGTAAGGAATAGTGAGGAAGAGTGCATTGGAGTGGTAGGGTCTGAATGTGTATGAGCGAGAGTGCGTCATAAGTTAATACCTTGAGTGTGTGTTTAAGCGGGTTTGAGTGAGTCTGAGTTTGACTGAGTTTCAATGCGGAAGTGACGTGGCTGAGCCTGCGTGAGGAATAGTGAGTTTGTGATGGGCCCCGCGAAGAAGAGTAGGTCTGCGATAGGCCGCTCGATGGGCGTGAGTGAGTATGAGGGTGGCATGAGAGCGAAGAAGAGGAAGGGGAGGAACAGGAAGGGACAGAGGAGGAATTCTGGACGTTTCGCGGATCCCCACCAGTGCTTAGTCGCGGCCCGGCTAGTGATCGGACGGCTTTCGACTTGCTTCGCGAGCCCGCAGACCAACAAGTATTCCCACCAGCCGTGGCATTCTTTTCCTGCGCTTCGCTGGCGACAGTTGCGCTGTACGCCTTGACCCTGTGCTGCTCGACCCTTTGACGGTGCGCGGCTGCTTCCGCGTCACTCGCAATCAAAAGTATCCCCACCAGCCCATCCAGAAACGATCAGCGGGGGAGTCGGTGAATCAGGGGCGGCAGGACGCATGCAGTTGCGCAGCCGTCTTCTGTAAAACAAGGATCACAAAGAGCTTCCCGCACTGAAGTTTAAGATGGAAATCGATGCAAGCTACAATGGTGCTCCGATGAAGGGGTGAAGGGTGTTTCGATGAATCGTAATGGCTGTTGCACCGATTTGTATCTTACTCGCGTGCGTTTCGAAACTTGCAGCCATCTTGGGGCTCTCTTGGGGTTCATTCGGGGCCCTCTTGGGGCCCTCCTGGGGCTCTTAGGGCCTTATTTGAGCCCTCTTGGGGCTCTTTTGGAGCGTCTTGGGGCCCTTTGGGGGCTTTTTTGGGATGCCTGAGGGGCCTCTTGGGGCCGTCTTGGACCTCTTCGCTAAAAAAGAGGGGGGTTCTAAGTCCCATCGACCCCTCGGAGGCTCAAGCATGCCGTCTTGGGGCCCTCCTGGGCCGCTCTTGAAGCGCTCTTCGGCGCTCTTGAGGCCGTCGTGGGGCCCTCTTGGGTCCCTCGTGGGACTATTTTGGGCCGTCTTGTGGTCATCCTGGAGCCTCAAGAGCCCACCGGAGGCGAAAAAACGAAAAGGCACAAACCATTGATGCCCCCCCCGGTTTTTGAAGGAGTTTGGCCTTATTGGGGGGTCCTCGGAGGGCTGGGAGGGCACTTGCAACCGTCTTGAGGCCTCTTGGATGCGTGTCGGAGGCTGTATTGAGCCATATGCCGCTATCTTGGGCCATTGTGGAGGCCATCTTGCGTTCTGTGAGGCCCTTTTGGAGCCATCTTGGGCTATCTTGGGCGCTGCTATGGGCCGCCCCCCCCCACTCCAAATGCATGGGGGGGGAGGTAAACCTCCGAAGCAGGGAAAGGAAGGAGGTTGGAAAAAGAAACACCCTAGACCACCTGCGCCCAGAGGGTTGTTGGGATGTCGGGAGGCGTCCAAGTATTAACAAGAACCCCTATCATAGGAGATCAGGGAAAGCCTTGGGGGCAGAAAAAGGCAAACCGTTTGAGACATCCCCACGACCTGAACGCGAACATAGGATTGCCCCCACCCCTGGCGGTCTCATCTTAGGGTGCCCAAATGCCACGCCTGCTGTACCGCGGTGAGCACTGAACTGCCCGAAGGAAGAAGTCGGGGAGGGGGCAGAACAAACAAACCTGATGAGACATCCCCACACGCTGGTGGCGAATCCGAGAGTATACCCTTCCGTAGCGGTTTCCCAGTGGAGTGCCCAAATACCGCGTTTGTTAGATCGCAGTAAGCAATGACCCGCCCCTGCAAATATGCTGCAAACCATAGGCAGCTTCGAGTATTGCGGGGCTGGTGAAAAACAGGAGCGGGCCAGGAAAAGGAGTGCGGCGTTGACTGGGGGAGTAAAGCTTTTAGGCTCGCGGGGGAGTGTACTGCTTGGCGCGAGCCCCATGCGCCGCCATTTCGTGGCAATTGTTTCCCAGCCCTTTGATTCCCAACCATCCTGTGGTGTTGGGTCCCCGTTTTGAAGAGACAACGCCCCGCGTCCCACCTCTCCTCCTCCGCTCCTCCTCATCCTCCGCTCCTCCTCCTCCTCCTCTTCCTCCTCCTCCTCCTCCTCCACGCCCTCCTCCGTCCTCCCTGCGCTTCCCCTGCCTGGTACAGCGGTTTTTGGCCTCATAGGGAGTTCCACCGAAGGTCCCAATGGCGGAACTCGCATGCGGTTCCTGCTCCCAGTGCGGTGTTTCGTGGCCCCGTAGGGAGCTCCAACGAAGGTCCCAGTGGCGGAATTCGCAGGCGGTTCTTGCGCCCAGTGCGGTGTTCCGTGGCCCCATAGGGAGCTCCACCAAAGGTCCCAGCAGCGAAACTCGCATGCGCTCTCTGCTCCTAGTGCAACGCTTCGTGGTCTCACAGGGAATTCCACCGAAGGTCCCAGTAGCGGAACTCGCATGCGGCTCTTGCGCCCAGTACAGCGTTTCGTGGCCTCAGAGGGAGCTTCACCGAAGGTCCCACTGGCGGAACTCGCCTCGCATGCGTTTGGCTCCTGCGCCAAGTACAGCGCTTCGTGGTTTCATAGGGACCTCCACCGAAGGTCCCAGTGGCGAAACTCGCATGCGCTTCCTGCGCCCAGGCCCAGTACATCGCTTCGTGACATCATAGGGACCTCCACCGAAGGTCCCAGTGGCGGAACTCGCAAGCGGTTCCTGCGACCAGTGCAGCGCTTCGTGGCCCCATAGTGAGCACATCTTTCAGACGCTTCGTGGCCCCACAGCCTTACAAGGGGAGCGGCCCGCCCTAGTTTCGCCTTCTCTCGACGGTATGACTGTTTGGCCCCACGCCGCGGACGACCCGCGCGGCGCTGGGATTTTCTCGGAGCGAGCAGCGCGCGCTGCGGAAACTCCATGTTGCGGTTTGCCCAGCGCCTCGTTCGCGTGTCGTCGTTCTGCCCAGCAGCCAGAGCCTTGCCCGCAATCAGCCAGCAAGCCAGTTCCCTATGCTCCGCGCGGCAGACGACCCGCGAGCGTCACTGGGACCCCTTCGTGGCGACCGGCGCGCGTCGCGGGGTCCGCGTTGCGCTGCGCCCGCAGCCTTGGGCTTTGGAGTGCGCGGGCACAACGGGAGACAAAGAAGGGAAGGGCAATGTTGGATGGTCTAGATTTTTTTGGCCACCCCCCCATTAAACATATCACGGACAGAGGGAATCACGCCGAAGGTTATATGGAGCTCCACCGAAGGCCCCAGTGGCAGCGCCCGCGTGCCGCCGCCGTTCCACTTTGGCATGCCCCTCGCACGGTTCGTGCCCCCATAAGGAGCTCCATTGAGACGACATTCACAGACACGGCGCTCACATTTGCACATGGTTGGGTCTTTTGCCAAGCCCGATTCTCTCTCGTTTTCAGTGCGCGGCTTCGCGTTCTTACCCGCCCGGCCCGTGGCGACCCGAACCCAGGGTTCTCGAGTTTCTCCTCTGTTTATCCTTCCGCCCCAGTGACCGCCGCTGCGGGCACCGCGCATTGCGGAGCCCCCGCGACGCGCGCCGGTTGTTCCGTCCCCGCGACGCGCGCGGCTTGCCCGCGGCACGGGGCAACAAAATACAGGTGGCTGACAACGGGCAAGACGCTGGGCAGAGCGCGCGGGCGTCGGGTAGCTCTTGGAAACAGAGCGCAGGGGAGTCGCGAGCGTGTGGGGCTACGAAACGCGTCGGGGGTGCTGGAGTTCCCCATGGGGCCACGAAGCGTGTGAGGGGTGTGCCGACATGGATATGCGGTGGGCGGGAGCCCCATGCGAACCCTGCCACAGGGGCCTTCGGCTGAGCTCTTCATGTGGCCGCGAAGCGTGTTAGGGGTTTGCCGAAATGGGCGTGCCGTGGGCGGGGGGCCGCATTTGAACCCTGCCACTGGGGCACCCGGTCGGCCGAAGTGTACACTGCCGCGGGCGGGGAGTCGCACGTGGACACTGCCATTTTGGCCTGCGCTGGAGTTTCGCATGGAGCCGCGAAACGTGTGAAGGGTACGCCGAAATGAATATGCGGTGGGCGGGGTGCCGCACGTGGACCTTGCCAGCGGGGTGGGTCTTCGGTGGAGCTCTCTATGGGGCCACGAACCGCGTGCGGAGTGCAACGAAATAAATATGCGGTGGGCGGGAAAGCGCATGTGGACCCTGCCTGTGGGGACTTCGGTGGAGCTCCCCATGGGGCCACGAAGCGCGTGCGGAGGGCAACGAAATTGACATGCGGTGGGCGGGGGGGCGCATGTGAACCCTGCCGCTAGGGCATTCGGTGAGGCGCCCTATGAGGGCACCAAGCGTGTGAGGGGTGTGCCGAAGTGTACATGGGGCGGGCGGGGGGCCGCATGTGAACATTGCCACTGCTACTTTGGCCATCGGTGGAGCTTTTTATGGGGCCATGAAGCGCGCGAAGGGTGTGCCGAAGTATACATGCGGTTGGCGGGAAACCGCACGTCGACCCTGCCAGTGGGGTTTTCGGTGGAGTTTCCTACGGGGCCGCGAAGCGTGTGCGGGGTGCGCTGAACAGGTAGACTGATGCGGAAAGCAAAAGTACAGAGGGGGAGGGGGGGAAGGGGGAGAGGAGGGGAGGAAACGCGGGGACTGTCCCTCCAAAGCGAGTGCCCAACACCACAGGATGGTTTTGGGGGAACCAAAAAAAACATGGGGGGCAGAAACAGGCAAACCGCCTGAGACAACCCCACACTTTGGGCGCGAATCTTGAAGTGTCCCCACCCCTGGCGGCTTCACCTTCGGGTGCCCAAATGCCACGCCTGTTGCATCGCTGTGAACAGTGGACCACCAAAGGAGAGAAGTCTGGAAAAGGGGAAGGAACAGGCAAACCGCTTGAGACATCCCGCCATTCGGGGGCGAATCCTGGAGTGTCACCAAACCTGGCGGCTCCCCCACTGGGGTGCCTGAGTGCCACACTTGCTATATCGCGGTGAGCATTGCACAACCAAGAAGCAGAAGTGTGGAGGCAGAAAAAGGCAAACTGCTGGGGACATCCCCCCCCCCGCATCTGGGCGCGAATTTTGGAGTGCCCCCTATGTGCCAGAGTGCCACGCCTGCTACATCGAGGTGCGCATGGAGCTTCGGAAAAGCTTGAGTGACGAAAAGTGTGTCAGAGCGAGAGAGGCTGAGTGTGCATGAGTGAGAGCGCGCCTGAGGCTGATTCCCTGGGTGGGTCTGAGTGAGTCTGAGACTGAGTGAATCTGAATGAGGATGAGATGTGGTTGTGTCTGCGTGAGGAAGAGCGAGTCACCGATGGAACCCGCGGAAGGGAGTGGGTCTGCGATGGGCCCCGTTATGGGCGTGTATAAGTTGAGTAAAAGCGTCTGAGTAACATGACAGCACAACAAAAAGAAACAGGAGGAACAAGATGATAAGGAGAAGGAGGAGGCCCAGGTGCGTCTCAGTAGATATTATTTGTGAAGGTTCCCGTACTTGCAGATCATATCCATGCCATTTTTCGGTGATGAGTTCTGTCAATGAGTATCTGGGTGTGACAACGAGTTCGCGTAGACGAAAGGCGCGGCAATGAGGACGACGACAGCGACAATTTTAGTGACGTCTTCCTCCTCCCCTGGACATGTTTCAGGAGAGACGAGGGAAGCGCACGTGGAAGAGCGATGGGTAGTTCATCTTGCCGTTCTTTCCAAGGCAACTCAGGCAAGTTCGTGAAGCGTTGCTACGCCCGCTATCTGGCGTGCTACTCGCGGCGCCTGCTGGCACGCAGGGTCCCAAGTGTCACCCCGGCGATGTCGCGGTAGCCATTTGCGCGCGAGTTTAGTGCGAGTGAGTGTGAGCGAGTGCGATACGATTGTGAGCGAGCCGAAATGTGACTGGACCTGGGCATGGTGGAGCCTGACTCTGAGCGAGTCTGCATCGAATCTTTGTGAGCACGGGCGGGCGAGCGAGTCTAACTGCGAGTGGGCCGGAGTGTGGATGATTCAGATTGTGGGTGAGCTAGAGCTTGACTGTGGCGAACATACATTTGAGTATGAGTTAGCTTGGGTGCAAAGTGAAATGGGCATGGGCGGGCCTAAGGGCTGGTGAGTCTGGGTGTGAGCGGGTCTGGGCGTGAATTGGCACCGACGTGGGCAATTCAGACTTCCTTCGGTTCTAGGTACGAGCGAGCAAGAGTGCGTGAATCCAAATGTGATTGAATCTGAATGTGAGCGAATCAGAACGCGATGAATGGGTTTACCTGAGGGAGAGGTGCCGGTGAGAAAGTCCGAGTGCGAATGAGCGCGCCCGGGTAGGCAAGAGGGGAAGGAGGTGAAGGAGTGAGTGAGGAGCACACATGTCCAAAGAAAGGTCTGGGGAGACATCCCCGCATCCTGATCGCGAATTCTGAAGTCTGAAGTATCCCCACCCTTGTCGGTTTTGTTCTCCGTTTTGGGGCGCGCAAGTGCCACGCATGATTCATCACGGCGGGCATTTGACCAAACAAACAATCAGGAGGAAGGGGGACATTCAAGAATGCCCCCACCCCTGTCGCCCCCTTCCAGAGAACCACTACCCCGCTTGGGACATCCTCATAATATCTGCCGTAAGCAGAAGATGATACGGTGCGAAACAGGCAAACCGCTTGAGCCACCCTTACAACCTCAGCGAGGATCGGAGTGCCCCCACCCCTGGCGGTCCCGCTAAAGAGTGTTGAAACACGTTCCAAGCCTGAGACATCTTGATAATTTGCTCCAAAAATTCAGAGGGTGTTACGGTGAAGGCATCATTCAAGGTTGAGCGACCCGCGCGGTGTCAAGACCCAGCGCGCAATTCGTCACGACACGGGCCTGCCACACCACCCCCATCGCGCCCGAAGTCGAAGGCCCTCACGGCCGAGCTCCACCGGGCCTTCACCAGCCGTTGGCGCCGACTTTCTTTTGGAACTGCGGTTCTGCATACTGCAGGCACGGACCACTGTCCTCCAGCGCGCTCTGTCACCCCCCTTCCCCCGGGCCCAGACATCCCGCGATTTCACGTGTTAAACCCGATCAGTCTTGCACAGAGGTCGGCCCCAGGGGCCGCTTCCTGCCCCCAGGACGATCAGCCATTGATCTTGGACGAAAAACACAAGACCGCTGGGGCCATCGTCGGATGTCTGCCCCATGTTCAGTCGCGGTCAGAGGAGACGGAGAGCAAACACATGAGCTCACAGGTGCTCGTACGCCCCGAGTCTGCCAACTTGCGTGCAGCTTGAGATGGGTTCACGTTGGTGCCATGCGTTGTTGGTCAATCATTGGCATCACACATCTCGTGTGTAGCTCGATCAGAACAGCAAAGACGTGTTTGCAAATAGCCCTAACAACGCGACCGTAAGTATGGGGTGTTCGCTTGGCTTGTATGTTAACTCGTGCGGAAATGGCTTAGTCAGCATATAGCGTACGATTGGATTGACCATAGTAGTGCAGAGCTGATATTGGCCATTCTTAAACACTGCTCGCCAGAGGGGCTTCTGTGTGTAATTCGCGACTGCAGGAGAGGGAGCACAGCGATGTCCTCCCCATGAGGTGTCCCACCTCTGCTGCTGATGTGCCTAGCTCTCCTGCTGGTGCCTGGAGCCAGATTCAGATACTGCGCCGTATCACTACCCCGCCTCGTCGTCGCTTGAGTCAGCAAAATCAGGGCATGTGAGCGGTGATGTGATTCTTTGGCATGGCCTATTGCAGGCGCGTTGAGCCTTGCGTGATGGGCTCGCGGGCCCACCCGCGTGCCCCGAGGAAGCGGCCAAGACAGAAAAGGTGGTTCGGAAGCTCCAGGCGATATTGGGACACCCAGCCTTCCCCAATCCAGGGGGGAGGAGCGAGGAGCGAAGAGGAAGGAGGCAGGACGCATTTCTCTGCTTGGTTAAATGCGCGGGCCGCTCGCGTTTGCCCCATACCCCAGGCCCCATTCATTCGGTTTGCCCAGTACCCGGAGCGACGAGACGAACCATGTTTCGCGCGCGCGTTCGAGCGTTGTGTGTTTGGGTGTGTGCATGTGTGAAGAGATGGAGAGTGGTGTATGCGTGTGTTGGTGTGCGAGGGCGTACGCGGGTGAGTGCGTGGAGCGCGTGCATGCGTATGCGCGGGGGAGATGGTGCTGCTGTGCTTTGGTGTGTGTGTGGATGTGTGTGTGTGTGTTTGGGTGTGCGTGTGTGGGTGTGTGTGTGTGGGTGTGTGTGTGTGGGGGGGGGTGTGTGTGGGGGGGTGTGAGGCTGTGAGGGTGTGTGGGTGTGTGGGTGTGTGGGTGTGTGTGGGTGTGTTAGTGTCTGTGTGTGGGTGTGTGTGTGTGTGCGGGTGTGCGGGTGTGCGGGTGTGGGGGTGGGGATGGGGGTGTGGGTGTGGGTGTGGGTCAAGCTAGCCAGCTCGAGCGAGTCAAGCATGGCATGCCCATTCCCACCCGCCCTCCCACAACATAAGAAACAGTGATGGCACAACTGGGGGCTGCGCGGGCATTTAAGTGCGAGTGGAGGATACCCCAGGACACCGCATTGACGTCCTCGCGGGATGTGCGCCGCGTCCCACTCCCGCCACACATTTCGCATCGTCGACGACAAGACTGGCCATGTTGAAAGGAACAACGGGCACGTTCCGCTCTCCCACAACATAAAAAAAAAACAATGCTGGCGCAACTGGGTGCTGGCGCGTAGTAGTAGTAGTAGTAGTAGTAGTAGTAGTAGTAGTAGTAGTAGTAGTAGTAGTAGTAGTAGTAGTAGTAGTAGTAGTAGTAGTAGTAGTAGTAGTAGTAGTAGTAGTAGTAGTAGTAGTAGTAGTAGTAGTAGTAGTAGTAGTAGTAGTAGTAGTAGTAGTAGTAGTAGTAGTAGTAGTAGTAGTAGTAGTAGTAGTAGTAGTAGTAGTAGTAGTAGTAGTAGTAGTAGTAGTAATAGTAATAGTAATAGTAATATAGTAGTAGTAGTAGTAGTAGTAGTAGTAGTAGTAGTAGTAGTAGTAGTAGTAGTAGTAGTAGTAGTGCGTAGTAGTAGTAGTAGTAGTAGTCGTAGCAGTAGTAGTAGTAGTAGTAGTAGTAGTAGTAGTAGTAGTAGTGGTGGTGGTAGTAGTAGTAGTAGTAGTAATTGTAGTAGTAGTAGTTGTTGTTGTAGAAGTAGTAGCAGTAGTAGTAGTTGTTGTTGTTGTAGTAGTAGTACTAGTACTTGTAGTAGCCGTACTAGTAGTGGTTGTTCTAGTGGTAGTGGTAGTAATATTATTATTATTAATAGTAGTAGTAGTAGCAGTAGTAGTAGTAGTAGTAGTAGTAAGAGTAAGAGTAGTAGTAGTCGTAGTAGTAGTGGTAGTGTACAGTGGATATACGAATAGGTAGTAGTATTAGTAGTACGATTAAAAATACGAGTCGTATAAGCAGAAGTACTACAGGTAGTACAAGTACTCGTACGAGTAGTAGTACAGAGTAGTAGCACTATGGAAGTAGAAGTGCTAGTAATACTTGTACGACTGCTAGACTAGTAGCAATGCCTTTGGTACTACAATTTGCAAAACAAGTAGTAGCAGCAGGAGTAGTAGTAGTAGTAGTAGTAGTAGTCGTACCAATGGCACTAGTAACGCTAGTCAGGATGGGAGTGTCCGCAGCCCGCATGGACGTCCGCGTGCGATGTGCGCCGCGTCCCATTCCTGCCACGTATTTCGCACCGTCGGCGACAAGGCAGGCCATGCTGAGAGGAAAAAAAGAAGACTTGATATTGATTTTTTATAGTCAGGGTGGGCGGGCCCAGATTGACTGCCGCGCGCGATGCGCGCCGCGTCCCATTCCTGCCACGTTTTTCGCATCGCCGACGACAAGAAAGACGATGTTGAGAAGAAAACCGGCGACTTCGTATTGATTTTTTAGAGTCCGGATGGGAGGTCCCGGATTGGGCCGCTATCGGCCGAATGCGAGGTAGGTGGGGGTATATAATAATAAGGAACAAGGATGTGGGTGAGGGTGCGTGTGTGTGTGTGAGTGTGTGGGTGTGTGGTCGTGTGGGCGTGTGGGCGTGTGGGTGTGAGGGTGTGTGTGTGTGGGTGTGTGTGGATGTGTTGTGTGCGTGTGGGTGTGTTAGTGTGTGTGTGGGTGTGTGTGAGTGTGGGGTCGTGGGGGTGTGGGGGTGTGGAGGTATGAAGGTGTGGGGGTGTGGGGGTATGAGGGTGTGGGGGTGTGTGGGGGTGGGGGGGAGGGGGGGTGGGGGGGGGTGGGGGGGGGGCGTGTGGGTGTGGATGTGGATGCGGGTGTGAGTGTGTGTGTGTGGGTGTGTGGGTGTGCGGGTGTGGGGGTATGTTGGTGGGTGGGTGGTGGGTGGGTAGTTGGATGCGTGGGTGGGTTGGTGGGTGTGTGGGGGGTGAGTGGGTGGGGGGTGGGTGGGTGGGTGGGAGGGTGGGTGTGTGGGGGGGAATGGGGGTGGGTGCGGGTGGATGGGGGGTGGATGGGGGTGGGGGTGGTGGGGATGTGTCTGTTGTTCATGCGCTGCCATGCTTACTGCTCTCCTGCTATTGCGGTGAGATACTCGATGCACGTCTGAAGGCTGACCAGCTTTGGATTACTCGGTTCTCCTCGCAAGGGCATTCCCTGAACCTCCCTCAACGTTGTCTCCAAGGTTGTGGCAACACGTTTGACGAGGCGGTTGCTTTCTGAGTCAGAAGATCGTTTGCATGCGTATGGTGTTATGGTCGTGTCGCCACGACGGTACTCTTTTTCTTGAGCCATCACGTTTACAGTTCGTGCTACAGTTCAGTTTGCTTCAGGCCTTCGTGTCGCCACGACGCCTGCTCTGGAAAATGTTTTGCGCGCTGGAGCGATTTGTAACTGCACGCATTTACGCCCCAGCTCGGAGGAAAGCTGGGGGGGAAAAAAAACGCGACAGAGTATCACGGCCAGAATGTGGGAACCGTTTTCCGGTCACCAGGCCCCTTTGGGCCCCGCCGCAAGACGATGCAATCCAACACACCAGAAGCAAACCAATCGGCGTTAAAATTGTTAAACGCTCGTGGGGGCCATCCTTGGGCCCCGGGCACGAAATTTGTCACGAAACCTCCCCGAACCTGTCATTGGAAGGCTAGGGAGTTCAATTATCCACAGGTGGGTGGGGGTGGGTGCGGGGGGGATGGGGGTGGGTGGGTGGGTGGTTGAAGGTGGGTGGGGGTCACGTTAGCCAGCTCGAACGAGCCGGAGGGCTCCGTCCACCCCCACCCGCCCGCCCACAACATAAGAAGCAAGTGCGTCGCGTCCGACGCCTGTCGCTCATCTTATATCGTGGGCGGCTGGACGTTCAGCGCGCGGCATGAACTGCGTCCTATTCCTGCCGCGTATTGAGCAACGCCGACGAGAAACAAGACCGCGCGCGATGTACGCCGCGCCCCGCTCCGACCTCTCATGTTGCATCGTCGGCGACCACATGTCCAGCGCGCAAAGTGCGCCGCGTTTCATTCGAGCCACGCGTGTTGTACCGCCAATCGTTTCGCCCCTGCCGCGCATGGAGGATGGGGAGGGGGAGGAGTATGAGGAGGAGGAGGAGGAGGAAGAGGAGGAGGAAGGAAAGGAGAGAGGGAGGGAGGGGGAAACTGAGGAGGAAGAGGATAATGCCTCCTTTTTGAGGCACTCTGAGTTGCCGCCCGCCCAGCTCCTCAACCCGACGGGCCGCAGCGTCGACGATAAGAAAGGCCACGTTGACGAGCAGGCGTCCCCGCGCGATTTGCGCCGCGTCCCATTCCCGCCACGTGATTCGCAGCGCCGACGAGGAGAAAGTGCATGTTGGCAAGCAAAACGTGGACGTTGTTGTGTTTTTTTGACGGGTAGGACGGGGGGTCCCGCGTAGGGTTGGCCAGGCGTCCGCGCGCGATGTGCGCCGCGTCTCATTCCTGCTACATTTTCGTAGCGCCGACAACAAGACGAGAAAAACGTGGACGATGTATTGTTTTTGATGGGTAGGACGCGACCACCCGCTTCTGGTTACCCAAGCGATGTCCATTCCGTCCCACTCTTGCAACACGTTTCGCAACTTGACGACACGTTGGCGAGAAAACATTGGGTTTGCGTTGTTTTGTGACCGTCAGGACGGCGGGGTTGCTATCGGCCGGCTAGGTGTTTAATCATAGGAAGTAAGGATGGGTGGGGGTGGCTGGTGGATAGGTGGTAGGTGGGTGGGGGTGGGCGGGGGTCAAGTTAGCCAGCCCGAACGAGCCAGAAGGCCCCGTCCACCCCCGCCCGCCCCCCCACAACATAAGAAGCAAATGCGTCGCGCCCGACGCTTGTCGCTCATCTTATTTCGTGGGCGGCTAAACGTTCAGCGCGCGACATGAGCTGCGTCCTATTCCTGCCGCGCATTGAGCAACGTCGACGAGAAACAACACCGCGCGCGATGACCGCCGCGCCCCGCTCTGGCCCCTCATGTTGCATCGTCGGCGGTAACATGTCCAGCGCGCAAAGTCCGCCGCGTTTCATTCCAGCCACGCGTGTTGCACCGCCAATCGTTTCGCTCCTGCCGCGCATGGAGGGAGGGGGTAAGAGGAGGAGGGGGAGGAGGAGGAGGAGGAGGAGGAGGAGGAGGAGGAGGAGGAGGAGGAGGAGGAGGAGGAGGAGGAGGAGGAGGAGGAGGGGAGGGACAGGAGGGAGGGAGAAACTGAGGAGGAAGATGCGGATGCCTCTTGGGAATTCGCGGGGCGTCCTGGGAGCTTTCTGGCAAGCGCCGGAAGACCTCTTGGATATATCTTCCGGGTTGGAGCATCGTCAACACAAATAGGCGCTAACCTCACAACCCTTCAAACACCAACTGAAAATCAATATTTGTGTTGCCCCCCAGAACCTCCCGGATATTTTTTTCGACCCCCCGGGGGTCTCCTGAGGCACTTGCTTGAACCGTACTTGCTTAAGGCATTCTGACTTGACGCCCGCCCAGCTCATCAACTCGGCGGGCCGCAGCGTCGACGACAAGAAAGTCCACGTTGACGAGCAGGCGTCCCCGCGCGATGCGCGCCGCGCCCCATTCCGGCTACGCGATTCGCAGCGCCGACGAGGAGAAAGTACACGTTGGCAAGAAAACGTCGACGTTGCGACGTTTTTTGGTAAATGGGACGGGGGGTCCCGCGTAGGGTTGGCCAGGCGTCCGCGCGCGATGTGCGCAGCGCTGACGACAAGAAAGTCCAGGTGGCCGAGAAAAACGTTGACCTGGAATTTTCTTGATGGGTAGGACGCGACCACCCGCTTCTGGTTACCCGAGCGATGTTCACCCCGTCCCATTCCTGCTCCACGGTTCGCAACTCGACGACATGTTGGCGAGCAAAACATGGCGGTGTGTCGTTGTTGTTTTTTTTGACCGGGCGGCGGGACTGAAATCGGATGGCTGGGCGGGGATGCGGGCCCGTCCATTGCCATCCGCCCTCCCACAACATAAGAAGTGCGTCGCTTCCGACGCCTGCCGCTCATCTTATATCGCGGGCGGCTAGACGTTCAGCGCGCGACGTGAGCTGCGTCCTACTCTTGCCGCGCATTGAGCAACGTCGAAGAGAAACAGGACCGCGCGCGATGTACGCCGCGCCCCGCTGTGGCCCCTCATGTTGCATCGTCGGCGGTAACATGTCCAGCGCGCGACGCGCGCCGCGTATGATTCCAGCCACGCGTGTTGGACCGCCAATCGGCTCGCTCTTGCCGCGCACGGGGGAGGGGGAGCAGGAAGAGGAGGAGGAGGAGGAGGAGGAGGAGGAGGAGGATGGAGAGAGGGAGGGAGGGAGAAACTGTGGAGGAAGAGGGAATGTCTCTTGGGAATTCGCGGGGCGTCCCGTTCCCGCTACGCGATCCGCAGCGCCGACGAGGAGAGAGTACACGTTGGCAAGCAAACAAAACGCATTTGCTGTGTTTTTTTTGCATGTAGGACGGGGGGTCCCGCGTAGGGTTGGCCACGCGTCCACGCGCGACGTGCGCCGCGTCCCATTCTTGCTACCCTTCGCAGCGTCGACGACAAGAAAGTCCACGTTGACGAGAAGAACGTTGATTTGGTTTTTCTGATGGGTAGGACGCGACCACCCGTTTAGGGTTACCCAAGCGATGTCCATTCCGTCCCATTCTTGCTGCACTTGTAGCAGTGTCGACGACAAGAAAGTCCATGTGGGTGGGTGGGTGGGTGGGTGGGTGGGCGGGCGGGTGGGTGGGCTTGTGGGTGAGTGAGTGGGTGGGTGGGTGGGTGCGTGGGTGGGTGGGGATGGGTGCGTGGGTGGGTGGGTGTGAGTGATTGTGTTGTGCGTGTGTCTCTGCACGCTGCGTGAGTTGACCGGGCACGCGCGCTCCCGCTTGATTTGACCTGCGCCACGCCGCCGCGCGCGTGGCCGCGACTCCAAAAAGTGTGTAAGAGACAGCGAGAGAGAGAGAGAGAGAGACAGAGAGTCTGTGCGAGTGTGTGTGTGTGTGTGTGTGTGCGTGTGGGGGTGTGTGCGTGCGTGTGGGGGGGTGTGCGTGCGTGCGTGCGTGCGTGCGTGCGTGTGTGCACGTGTGTGTTTGTGGTGCGGGGGGGGTCCAGGTCAGCCTCGTTTTCATGGTCGCTCCACGCTGCTTACTCGCTGCCCCGACCTTCCAGTCTTGGTTGGATTATGGCACATTCACCGCACCGTAGTTTCGTCTAATTTCCGTCCCCTCTGCCATCCATGCCTGAATGGTTTATAGCTGATTGCGGTTGCGATCCAAAGCTGTCTTTGGGTGCTTGGGCGATCCTCGTTTTCCGCGCGCGATTCCTGCTGTTAGACCTTTTCCGCCCTGTGGCTGCGCATGGAGCCGCGCCGCGCGCGTCGATGGTCGCGACGCGCGCGAGACGCGTGGACGAGCTGTGCGCCGACGGTTTCGTGGCAGTCTTGTGGGGCCACGCAAGACGCGCGAGCGCGCTCGGCGCTGGGGGTCTCGTGGCACGCGGAGACCTCGCGAGGTGCGCGGGCGTTGCCCACTCGGGGCGGCTGCAGCTCCGGCGGTGTGGCGCCCGTCTTCTTTTCACAATGGTAAGAAGTGTTCAGTTGACGAGTGGGCGGCGGCCGTGGACAAGGGGCTGTTCGCGGGGGCGATCACGGCTTCTTGCCCTGTCGATAAGAGGGGCCCAGTGGCGCGTGCTGTGCGGCAACGAGCATTTTCTCAAGAGCGCCGCCTGCGCGCGAGGGGACAAGGCCATCCTCTGGCGCGCTTCCGGCGCACAGCCCAGATTTGAATTCGGCGTAGAGTGCGGGGGGGGGTCCGACGCTTTGGCGATGCGCTCCGTCTCGGGCAAGACGACCTGCAAGGCGCGCGCGATACGGGTGATTGAATCAGCGAAGTCGCAGGCCGCGGCAGGCATCTGTAACAAGGGTCTGCCGGGCACGTGCAAATGAGTGGTGGCGGCCACAGGTACTGGTGTCAGGGGATAGCGCTAGTCTCACCCTCGAAGAAGTACTTCTAAGGTACCGCCCACCCGTCGCGAAAGTGGTTTATCTTGAGCAATGATAATTGCGACGTCCCCGAACGAGACCTCCCTTCCCCCCGCAGCCGCCTGGCACGACGGCTTTCGGCCTAGCTGGGAGGGAGAGTTTTCTGCGGTTTTCCCGGGTACCCAATAAAAAGCACATGCGGTATAATATTGTTCCCCCCAAATAGATTCACAAGGGGGAAGTCATTCCAGGCCGCTTCCATGCAACTGTACACATTTCCCTGCGTGAGATCACAGCGTAAAGAAACATTCCCAGACGACTTCGCACCACAGCGCCCAGAAGTGCGAACTTTCGCAAAAATGAACTTCTTTTGCCACGGGGATGTAGTAGCCGTGGCGGTGGCAATAGTGGTGAGCGGTAAGTGGTATTTGGTCAGTGGTGAGTGGTGAGTGGTACGTGGCACGTGGTAGTGGCAGCTAGTGGTAGTAAGTAGTGGTGGCGGAAGGAGGCACCTCTCTTAATCGCGCGCCTTTTTTCTCTGCCGACTTTTGAAGGCCAAGCTGGAGGACTCGGAGGCTCGGCCGCCCACAGTGCGGGCGGCGGGTGCGCTGGATTCGTGGCCACGCTTGTGGAGGATGAGTCGAGGATCGAGGATCGAGGACCGATCGAGGCCCACTGTCGCGGATCGAGCGTCGAGGATCGATCGAGAATCGCCCGAGGCGTGACCAATCATGGCCCGTGCTCATGGAGGGAAAGGGCGAATTCGCGCTGCTCTCTGAGGGTGGACGGGCGGGGGTGTACCGGCCCCGCCGACAGGCCCGAGCCGACCCCCCGTCGCGAGGTAGACACCGTTGTCGCCGAAGGCGCCGTGCTCCCCACAGGGTGGCGCGCCAGCGTGACGGGGTTGACCCCGTCGGGGAAGGGGGGGGACCCCACGCTTACTACGAAGCGCAGGGTTCGAAGAAACTCCGCATCATGGATGGAGGCGAGTAGATTAGCCACGGGTCCCGCTCCCATGCAACGTCCACGCGTTCAGTCGCCAAATCAGGCGGCATTTGCGTCACGTTTCGGGGGGCAGTTCACCCGATCCGTGCATTTGGCGCCCACGCGCCAGATCCAAGGACCCGGAATCCGTAATAGCGTGTTCCGAAGAGTATCTGTTGAAAGCCAATGTATTTCGCATTTTTTTAAAGGGCGTTGGCCAATAGCGTTTGGACCAAACCCGCCAAGCCAGAAGACGCCGCCAAGGTGGCGGGTTCCTCCAGGGGGGGCATGCTGGCACAGCACACGTATTGGGAGCGTCCGTGCCAGCACGACCTGCCGTTCGCACAACTTCTCTTGAGTCAGTTGGAGCAGACAGGCTGCGGAGGAGAACGATCTGCGGAGGTGTCGGTTCCCTTCCCCTCCACTGCCTCCTTCCTCTGGCACGCTGCTCCACCCCGAGATCCAACACGCTCCACCTCCTGCTCCTCCCGTTTGCTCTTCTGCGTCCTCTTCTTCATTCCGCCCCCGACCCCCACTTCTTATCATCATCCACCTTCTCTTCTTATTTTGTTCGCTCTTCCTCCTTCCTCCGTTCGCTCCTCCTGGTCTCAGGGTGATGGGCGCTCCCTATCCTCACGTATCATAGGGAACAGGCTTCCCCAGTTTGATCAGGGGCTGTTTGGAATCGATGACAAACTCAACCTGACCCAGACAGTCGAAGGTTGGGTGTGTGCCAAAAAAGTGACCCCTACCAGGAACTCGGAGTCGGTATCGGTTCATATCGCGCGTGTTGGCGAGGCGTCTCTGCGCGAGGGCAATGCTATGCCAGCCAAGGCTGGGGCCAAGTCGGACAAGAAGCTTCGCATCCAGTCTCGCGGTGGGGCCCGTGGGTTGTCCAGCGGTTGTCCCGTGGTTGTCCTGTAGACAGTCGTGAAGGCTGTCCCGAAGGTTGTCCTGTGGGTTGTCCCGTGGGTGGTCCCGTGGTGGTCCCGTGGTGGTCCCGGTGCTCCCGTGGGTTATCCCGTTGGTTGCGCCATGGGTTGTCCCGTTCTTGTCCTGCGGGTGCCCTGCGGGAAATGCAAATGTAATTGCAATCGCACGCAACTCCAATAGCAATCAACATGCACATCGAACGTCAAGTCGGAATACCATGCGGAGTGCAAGGCGAAACGCAAAACGATGTGACATCGAAATTCACATCGCAGTTATGTATGCGTTGATGTCTAAAAGCGAGGTGGTCGATGTACAATTGTACATATACCATATATTAGCTTTATGTTTATATGGCGATTCATACACACACGTGCAATCGAACTGCAAGTCGAAACTTGAATATGAGTGCAACGCGACATACACAACGACATGGAATCGACATGCCAGCCGAAAGGCAAGTATAAATGCAAAGCCCAGTCCATTCGATGTTCAATTCAAAATTCCAAACGCACATCGGAATGCAGGTCCCTCCCCAAACCTCCCTACTGTACAACCCGAGGGGTCTCTTTGAGGTATCCTCCTCTATGGCTTATCTTAGTTTCCTGTTTCCCAACCTGTGCAGCGACAATGCCGCAACAATAAGTAATCCGCCTCCTCGTCCTCTTTGAGAGGGATCCCTGAGAGGCCCTCGCTGCCAATGATCTCGAGTTGGTCACCCTCATGCTACTGCTGCGCCTCTTCCTCTCGTGTCCTGCTTATCTTCCCACTTCTCCTCTTATCTATCTTCCCTGTCCTCCTTCGCTGCATCAGTCTCCATAATCATACATCTCCTCATTCTCATTATCCTTCTCCTTCCTTCTCCTCCTCCCTGTCCTCCTCCTCCTCCTCCTCCTCCTCCTCCTCCTCCTCCTCCTCCCCCTCTTCATCCGCCTTCATCTTTCCTGCGCCGGTGCATGCTGCCTCGTCCTCCTCCTCCTCCATCCTTTTCCTCCTCATCCCTCCCTGCTTTGCCTGCTCCTGCTCCTTCGGCACATTTTCAACGTCGTCGTTTCCCCCTTTCCCTTCAGCCCTTTTTGCCTCCTGCTTCCGTCGTACTCCTTCCTCCTCTCTGCCTCCTACTCCCCCTTCCTTCTCCTCTGGGGTGGAAAAAACACGCCCGTATGGGCTGATGGGGACGGGACTTGGGACGGGAAGGTGTAATGCAGCATCGTTGATGCGTCTTGGGTTTACTCTGGTCCTCGTCCTCTTCCTCGTCTTCTTCCTCCATCTCCCTATCCCTCTCCACCACCTCGCTCCGCACTCCCTGCGGGCAGCTGCCCTGACTGGACCCAGGCAAGGCGTGAATCGGGCAGATCCCTAAGCCTTGCGGCATGCACTCAGCTTTCTGCGGCCGGGCGTGACGTCGAATGTGTTTCTGATGGCTCTCACGCGATCCGGGGAAAAGTCGCCAGGTTGCGCAGCCGCCGGCCGCGTTCGCACGTCGACCTGTGGCGGCAGCTGCAGCGAATCCTCCGGCACCGGGTCTGCGCAGCTCGCGCTGCGTACAGCATATAGAGTAGAGGGCCACCTGACCGAAGCCCGAGCCGCCCTGGCAGAGGTGCCGCAGGCTGTGGGAGTCGCCAACGACGAAGCTGATCGTCTTGCGGCGCTCGAGGCCGAGCTGGCCCAGCTGCCTGTGGAAGTGACGCAGCCCATCCTCGAACCTGATTTGGTCACAGGCGCAGGTCGTGCACGGTTGGCCGCCGCTCTGTTCTGGCCTCGGCACACGTCTCATTGCTCGGCCTCAGACGGTGCCGCCTCCTCACCGCCTCCGAGCGCTGCGCTCCGCGTCCTCCAAGCCCAGACCTGCAACGTGTTGAAGATGCGCAGCCAGAATTCACAGTTTGGGGCATCCAGGGGCCCTCGCCGGGCCCCCGGGGCCTGCCAAAAACGGCACGTCACAAAGAAGTTGGCCCTGGGGAAAGGATCGGGACCGCCTCGCCTCAAGCGTCGCTTGCTCGAGCCCGAGTCTCTCAGGTCTGGGAGTCGCAAAGAATCGCGACGATTGCTTTCTTCATCGTTTTCGGCCTCTGGAGGCCGTTTCCAAGGCCTGGAGCTTCAAAGAGCGACTCAGCATGAAAAGTCGCCCCGAGAGAGGCGGTACGTACGACGTCTGCTGCATGCAGCTGACTTCTGCTCCGCCGCCACGCAGATTCTAAAATACGTCATACGTGGTCGCCTCCGGCGCTGGGAGGCGCAAGCAAAACCAGCTGCAGGCATCTGACTCGCGGGCTTCCCGCTTGCTATCTATACCCGCCCCCCCTTTTCGTCTGCCCCGAAAGGGGTCGAGATCCCCAGAGGCCCACGTCGCGAAAGAGATGCGACGTCGGAGGAGAGGGAACGGCGCTTGCTCGTCCTCGTCTTCCTCGCGGCGTCGGTCGGCTCCCACCTCCCCCCGGTCTCGGGCACTGGTGCTCTCCAGCGCTCCTCTCCCTCCCCCCTCCCCCTATCACGCTTCCTCGGTGAGCGGGTGGTCCGCTCCCAGCTGCTCTTCTTTCCCCTTTGCCTTTCGCTCTCAGTCGCCCTCCCTCGCTTTCAGACGCACAGACGCACTCCCTCTCTCTCTCTATATATCTCTCTCTGTCGGGTCGTCTGTCTGCGACTGCGCGTTGCTTGTTATCCTTCCGTGGCACCGTGGGCCTATCTCAACCTGCAGCGCCAGCAGGCAGGTTCAGGTGTACCCGTGCAGCAGGACATCCTCTGCTTGCTGTGTTTCTCCGCCCTGCTCTGTCGAGGCCAGGCGGAAAGCGCTGGAAAGCGAGTCAGGCCCAGTCAAGGCGACAAGCTAAGGGCTTGGAAGACAGGTGCAAGAAGGGTAAGACGATCGATAATGGATAAGGCATGGTGTGCCCCTCCTCAGCATGCGCACTGTCTTGAGGTGGTTTCAGCGCAGAGCCTCAAGATTCATGTATCGTCGCTCAAATGCTCTTGTCATTCTTGGAAGGTCCGTCAACCGTAAAGAAGCGAGCGTACACGCGCAAGTTCGAGGACCTTGCGATTGCGAGGGGCAGAGATTCGTTTCAGGTCCTCGATGGGTCGCTTCTGGGGCACGTATGCCGTGTTTCGGGGAAGCGAGTCTTGGACACACGAGGTTTTCCTTGGGGCAGTTGTTCTCACACCGAGGTGTTTTCTGGCGGTCCAAGGGCCCTCCCGGGAGCCCGGAACAGACGATGCGAACAAGTCCCCCATTTCTTCCAGGACCCTCTTCCTGAATGGCGAAATTGAAAGCATTGTTCCCGGACCTCTGCATGGGTGCGTTTTGACCAGAACTTCGAGGTGGACCCAGTTGTGGCGACCAGGATCCTCCTGGAGGCAAAATCAAAGAAGAACTCGCCAACTCATTTCGAACCTTGGCACGTCGTTTCCCTTCTGCCCCCGAGGCCCCTGGCTCCATGATTCTCTCGACAGTGGATGGACCCCCAGAGGTCTCGACCCCTTCCCAGGGACCAGCTTTTCGATGAAAAGCCTTTTCATCCTGAGCCGTTCTTTGGGGGCGCCGAGGCCCTGTCAGGGTCCACCAGCGGAAAGTTGCACCAGCGCCTCCGCCGCGCCATTTCTCACGACGCCGGGGGGTCTCGGGGGCCTCGGCCGCCTGGCCGTCTAGCCGGCCAGTGGCGGGGCGCGCCAGGCGAGCGATGCCGCCTCCGCTGGCGGCGGGCGGGGCGCCACCGCGGGCGAGGAGGCCCGCGTCAGAGGCGTGGGGGGCGGGGGGGGACGACCTGCGGGCGGGCGCGCGGCAGGAGCGGTCGTCGCAGGGTAGGATGGCTCGGGGAGGTCGCAGAGGTCCCGAGGGACGGGGCCCTGAGGACTGGAGAGGGCATTCACATCGGAATGTGCATCGTCCAAGGCCTTCTCGCCCTCGGGGCCTCCTGCCTCTCAGGTGCCCCATCCTTGAAATGCCGACTGGCCCCAGCAGAGGGCACCTGGAAAGCTTCAGGGCTCCGAGCAGGTCATCCGCCACCTCTGGCTTCTGGAGGCCCGAGACCGGGGACCGTCAAGCATCGATCAGGTATGAAAGCCTGCCCAGGATGGACCGGCCGACCTCCACCTACACAACACCACCGTGCGTGGTCAGGGCCCAGATAAGAGTCGGGGGCGGAAAAGAGGGGGGTAATGACTAGGGGGGGGTGGATATCATGGCGGGGGCCATGATATCTCCCCAGATTTCATGGCGCCTCTTCTTATTTCATTACGTCCCTGGCCCCCCCGCTGGGCCGCGCACGTGCCGCCGGTCATGATTAGCACACCCCCCTCTTGGACACCCCCCTCTTGGCCGCTCCCGAGTCAGGGCCCAGATAAGAGCAAAACGTTGCCGAAGCATTATTGATCGGAAGGTCGCGCATATTTCTCGGGTCGGCGCTGGACCTCGCCCTGTCGGCGCCTCTGGCGCCGTTCCTGGCGCGCATCGCGTGCCAGGAGTGGAGGGCCTAGGGCGACATGCGGAATTGCCAGGGAGGAGGGGGAAGAGGAGGACGAGCAGGAGGAATCTATCATCATTGAGAACAAGAGCCCAAAAAACAAGAACAGCGCTCGGAGGTCTGCGTAGGTTTCTCGTATCGGCGCTGGACTCCACTGGCGCCGTCCCTGGCGCGCTCCGCACGCCAGCCGAAGAGATCCGTGCGGACTGCAGACTTCTGGAAGTCTGCATGTCGTACCTTTCTCTTCGCGCACGCAATGCCAAGTTCCAAGGTGGCCCTGGCCACGCGTGGCGGCCCTGGCCACGCGTGGCCAGAAAGCCGTGGCGTGAGACCACGTGCGCGCTCGCCGCTCTGTCCCAGTGGTGGAGTGCCGCACCTTTCCCAGGACGCGGTGCAAGACTGTCCTTCGAGCTCGCCGGGGTGAAGTGGAGCGCAGCGGGCGGAGTCGCAGCTGGGATCCCCCAGGAAGAGGCACAGTCGAGATGCGCCCAATCGGGCACGGTGCGGGTTCGGAAGGGGCTCGCTGTCGCTTGGGTCCTTCCAGTGGCTGCTCCTCTGGCGCGCCTCGTGCACCCAGGTGGTCTGGCGGCGGCACCACCGGCGCAGGCGCTCCGGGCTGAAGGCTGCCGGAGCCCGCAACCAGGCCGACCTGGACCGATCTGCGCAGCGTCGGAGAGCAACGTCCGCGCCAGAGCGGCCGACATTCCCCGGGCTTCTCTGAGAGAGGCGGAGCAGCAGGAAGGGCAGGGGCAGAAGCAGGAGGGGGGAGGGGCAGTCGGCCATCAGGTGCGCGCAGCGGCCGCAGCATGGCACCGCAGCGCGCGAAGAGCGTAACAGGTGATCGGGAGGGGGGGAGGAGGAGGAGGAGGAGGAGGAGGAGGAGGAGGAGGAGGAGGAGGAAGGAGGAGGAGGAGGAGGAGGAGGAGGAGGAGGAGGAGGAGGAAGGGGAGGGTGAAGCAGAGCAGGAGGGAGCTCAGGGGGAGAAGGAGGGGGAGGTGGAGTTAGAGGATGGAGGAGGGGAGGGAGCAGAGTGGGAGGATGAGAAGGGATGAGCGAGAGCGACGGACCAGGAGGAGGGAGGAAGAGCAAGGAGGAAGGACGGAGAGGGAGGACGCGGACAAGGGGGGGAGAGAAGGAGGAAGAGGAGGCGGACGACGATGAGGAGGAGCAGGAGAGGGGGCAGGACAGGACAGGACAGGAGGAGGAGGAGGAGGAGGACGTAGAGGAAAAGGACGACGAGGAGGAAGGAGGGAGGGAGGGCCCAGCGCCAGGCGCCCAGCTACGCGAGAGGGTCGAGGGCCTGAAGCGCGCGGTGCAGGAGCCAGACGTCCCTGCGGCAGGGAGGGAAACACACCCGGGGGTCGGCCCGGTCGGTCGGCTTCGCAGGCTTTCGGGCAGGTGGCAGCGGTGGGCGAATCAAATTGAGGGTGAGGAAAAGGGCCTAAAGGGTACCTTGGGCCCTTCTCTGCACCCCCGCCCGAGGCTTCCGGTGGTGTCACTGGTCGGGACGATCGACATGGGTACGGGAAGAATGGGTGCAAAGTCCAACAGCAGTTCTTGCTGATTCTACGCTGTGTTCGTTGTCGGCGTCGCCGCGGTCGCTGTCCATTCGAGACAGCAGGCCGCCTGCCCCACAGCGGCCGCTGTCGGTTTTGGACAACACTTGGTGTTGGGCATCGTGCCCCTTCTCTTCGTACCAATTCTGGAAGGTGGTTTCCATCAGCTGCGCCTCGCAGGGAGCCTTCCAAGGGTGCCCGCCCGGGTTGTCCCGATTGGCCGAGGGCGAGATTGTGGCCTGGGCACCGACGATCTTCCCAGGCCTTCAGCAGTCGGAACTTGTTCCTTTTCTCGGCTTCAGACTGGAACCCCTCCTGCAGTACTGGACCCTCATGTGAGCACTGGGATCCCTGCGGTGCTGGACCCGCGCCATGGAAGCCCATGGAAGCCGAACAACAATGGAACCCTTGCGGTGTTGCAGGGGTCCCAGTTCCGGCGAAGAGCTGGCCGTCTCGCTTTCTGATTGCTTCGAGCCGCCGAATCTGAGGGTGCGCCCAGGCGGGGGCAACGGAGGGCGGAGCCAGCCTTCTGAGAAGGCGGGGGGCTTGTTACAGAAGCCCTTCCCACCTCCAACGCATGGAAAGCAATCGTGCAGGTTCTTTTTACAGTGATCGGCCTCTCGGAGGCCCTCGCCGGGCCCCGGGGCCGAGGCCATGAAACAACTACTCTGGAGGAGAAGCCGGGCCTGGGGGGAATGGTCAGGATTTCTGAGGACCCCGAGTAGGTTCTCCCGCCTTCTGAGAGGGCTTCTGAATTGCCTTCTGAGGCTTCTCAGAGGGCCTCTCAGAAGGCGGGATCGCTGGGAAGCCCTCCCGCCGTCTGAAAATGCCAGCCCCCTCTCCCTTCCTCCCTTGGGCGCACCGCCGTAATCAAGGATGCTTGCAAGCCCAGACATCCGACGATGTGAGTGCTCAATGCGCAGCCCCCGCAGTTTCCAACCACTTCCCCGAGAGCAGTCTCCCATTCTGGAGCAGGGCGTGATGGCCCCGGGAACCGAAAGCGGCCCCGAGAGGCCCAATGTCAATGTTGGAAAAACGCTGGGATGGAATAAATAGGAAGCAGTGCTCGGCGTCACCCCAGCATGCTAATTCTATGTGTGCGTTGCCCCCCCCCCCCCCCCAGGTGCGGCGCGCGCGCCAAGAAATCTTATGGTATCTGCTTAGTGGTGGGCGTATTCTGGCCGTACCGCTCGGGAAAGGAATCATTACCAGATTGTTATACGATACGTTCGGGCTGGACGCACGTCTCCAAGAAGGACACATAGTACTAGTATGTCCTTTTGCGTCCCAAATGCCCGGTGGATCGACTTTCAAGTCGTTTCGTCGACGTCTGTCAGAAGGGTTAGAACATACAGACACACGAAGAACCGTCGATTCCCAGGAAAAGATTGAAAGTCTGAGAAGTGGAGGGGGAAACCGACATTCTGAAAGCATACAAACACACAAAGAACCGTCGATTCCCGGGAAAAGATTGAGCGTCTGGGAAGTGGAGGGGAAGACGAACATTCAGAAAGTATGGAACATCTGGGGACCCCTGGGATCTGTGCCGATCGAGTCGTGTGCCACCCCCTCCAGTCTGGGAGGGCCGGCGCAGCGTGCGCGCAGCAGCCGGTGCACACACTCCCGGCAGGAGGCCCGCGCGCGCCAGCAGGCCGAGCGCGACGCGGCGCAGAGCCAGGCTTCCCGCCCGGCGCGCCGCCGTCGGCTGCCCAGCGGGGCGCTCCAGAGTGTCAGAGGAGGAAAAGGAGGAGGAGGAGGAGAGGGGGGGAGGAGGAGGAGGAGGAGGAGGAGGAGGAGGAGGAGGAGGAGGAGGAGGAGGAGGAGGAGGAGGAGGAGGAGGAGGAGGCTTCGTGGTCCAATAGGGGGTCTGAGGATCAGGGACGTCTGGTTCCTGGGCCCCCGGGGCTGGCTCCCTGTCCGCAGCGCTGCCCCCGCCCCGTGTGCGCCTCTGTTCGGCCGCCCGGGAGGCCCTCGTCGCCACCGCCGGATGCGCCCCGGAATTTTCGGTCAGAGTGCATCCCGGGAGAGGCTCCGGGAATGGAGCGGCGTCGGTGTCTTTCTGGTGTCCCCGCAGAGGGCCTGGCCCTCGAGGATCGAAGGAGTGGACAGCTCTTCGTCGGCGGAGCCGAGGGCCGGCGGAAGTAAGGGGGGAGCGGATCCGCCCGCGGAAGACGGCGGAAGCAGAAGTCGTTCACGCGCAGAGGGGGGGCAGGGGGAGGGGGAAGGCTTCTTAGAAGCACCTCTGTTTCTTAGAAGTCGCGGGCCTCACATCTACAGATGTCAGGCCCGCGTCTTCACAGAAGCAGAAGCACATCCAAGAAGTCTTCACTCCTCCCCTTACCCCCTTGTGCGGACCGCCAATGCCCGTGGGGCGCTCCAGAGAGGGTCTGGCCTTCGAGGATCGAAGGAGTGGACATCTCTTCGTCGGTGGAAGACCGGCAGAAGTGGAACGGGGGCTGCTCCGCCCGCGGAAGCCGGCGGAAGCAAAAGATGCGCACTCAAGAGTGTCATTGTGGTCGGGGGGGCAAAAAAGGTGCCCCACAGATATTCGCTCAGCTCTGGAGCCCCAAGGCCGATGCGGCCACTCCCTGGGACAGCTCCTGGGGCTGGTTTGTGGACCCCTGGGGCCCAGGCCCCCTCGCCTGGTCAGAGTTCCTGCCCCTTTGTGGGAAAGGGTTTCTGCAAATGCTCACCCTCTCGTAGGGAGCCCACAAAGGACGTACGCGCCCAGCTATGTACACGAACACGGCCCCTCGATCCGCGAGACTGGCCGCGTGATACGAACTTTCGGGCAGTGCGTACTCTCGAAACCAGCGTGGATTCATGTACGTGTACGGCTTCCAGGCAAAACCAAATCATACCACGCGCCTCCTCGTCAAGCGGCCTGATTAGTACAGGCCGTAGTTTGGCATCGCTTGGTATCTGTTGGAAGCGAGGGTGGTCAAAAGCGAGGTAGGTTTGTTTGCCCCCTAGCAAATGCTCACCCTCTCGGGGCTCGCTTCGCGCCCTGGGGCTGTCCCAAAACGGCTCGGTGCGAGGATGGGCCTTTGGGGGAGGCGTCGAGAGGCCAGGGGTCCCACGCGAGAAGAACACTCGACGCCACAAGCTTTGGTCTGGGTGCCACCTCTCCCTCCTCGTCCTCGCAGGATTGCAAAGAAACGAAGGATAGCAAAAAAAAGCGAAGGATTGCAAACAAAAACCGAAGGATTGCAAACAAAAACCGAAGGATTGCAAAATAACCGAAGGATTGCAAAAAAACAAAGGGTTTTTGTTGCAATCCTTCGGTTTGTTGCAATCCTTTGCAATCCTCCGTCCTCCTCTCCTTTCCCCTTCCTCCCATTTCCTCTGCACGGACCTGCGGCAAGTGCTACGGACGCGTTCGCGGGCCAACCTTGCTACGTAGCCGGGAGCATACAAGCTGTTCGTTCGTTGCCATGTCCGCTCCACTCTTCTCCCTCCCCCCCAAACAAAAAAGACTAACGAACAACACACACACCCATACCCGTAGGAGGGTCGGAGGGAGGAGATTGGCTACGGGTATGGGTGCGGGTTGTCGGGCCGTGGGGGAGGCTCCCGCTCGAGCTGGGATCCCCATCTGACAACATGCACCCATGGCCCATAATTGGTGTGTACTTACCAGCCCTGTCCTGTTCGACTCCTTCCGTGTGTGCGTTTTACGAAACGGCTTCGCCTGTCGGGGTGCTTATGATGAGGGTGGATGTTCTGCTCTCTGTGTTCGCTCGTCCAAAAAACTGGGTCTGGGTGATGCCCTCCTTCGATCGGTCAGGTGTCTAGGGCCTGCCGAGGCTCCGCGGGCCCTGCCGAGGCTCTGGGCCTGTCGCAGAGTGAAGCCTCTGTGGGCGTTCCCTCGTTCGCCTCAACAACGGAGTCTGGCTGGAGCCCTCCTCCGATCGCCCAGGCGTTCGGGCCTGCCGAGGCCTCTTCGGGCCTGCCGCACCGGTGAAGCCGCCGTGAGCCTGCCGAGGCCCGTGGCCTCTCGGGGCACCTCCAGAGTCGAGGCCTCGACGAGGCCCGAAGAAGCGTCCAAGACAGAGCGAGGCCTCGTCGAGGCCTCGACGACGTCCGAGAAGTCCTCGTGGAGGCCTCGGCGAGGCCTGAAGAAACGTCCAAGACAGAGCGAGGTCTCGTCGAGGCCTCGACGACGTCCGAGAAGTCCTCGTCGAGGCCTCGGCGAGGCCTCGAGAAACCTCGGGAACCTTTGGAGAGTGAGATCGGGTGTTGCTAGGAAGTGCCCTCGGCCCAAGGTGCCCACAGCAGTTCCAAGAGGCACCCGCAGCCTCCAGGTCATCCCTCTCGAGGCCCCTGAGGGCCCCAGGGGCTTCAAGATGGAGCGACAAGTTGGGTGCGCCTTGGGCCAGGGGCACCTTCAGCAACTCCCGATCAGACGTCCAAGACAGCCTGCGCCTCGAAATAATCTTTTGGTGTATTCCCGATCTCAACCATTTGTTGGCGACGCCTTTCGGACTCTGGGCCCTCTTCTTAGCCAGAAGCGGCTGCGGAGCTCCTGCATGCAGACTGTGCATCGCGCGGGCAACGCAGCTTTAGTTCAGACTTGCAGGGAGTTGCTGTTATATCCTCGCAATCTGTACCGGCGGCTTGCTTGTCACTATGCCTAGCCTCTGGGGGTTGGGCCTCGAGTTTCGAGACCGTCAGAGGGGACTCGGGATGACAAGTTGTCTTCGGGGAAGAGGTCGAGACGCATTGAAAGGCATCGAAGCGCCAGATGTATGGGTTCAGGCTAGCTCAAACAATTATACCAGAACTTGTCCTTGGTATTCCGCATCTGGAGGCCTCTTTCGGGCCTTGGGGACGTCAAGTAATTGACCCAGGTGAGAAAGATCCTCTGGTATCGAGAAGTCCAGTGTCCCGCGGACAGAGTGAACCTCTAACAAATCAAGCTAAATTGGGTGTTGAATTCCGCATGGGTAACCTGGGCGTTGCACGTGACCATGAGCATGAACGGTTCATTACATGGCACGCGTTCTAATATATAGCACCCCGCAATTGAGGATAAGAGCGTTGGGGCGGGCGTCGATTGCTGTTGTAGAATCAACGTGGGCCGAATCGGGGGAATGGCACGAGGGCGCTTTCCCAAACCAATGCGAGCAAACCCGCCGCAGGCGCCGATTTGCGTGCTCTGACAAGTTCAGCGCGGGGGAGATCGCTGGTGGGCCACCCAGAATGAATGTACAAAAAGCCCGCCGCAGGCGCCGAATTTTTGGTTTGTTCAGTGAACGTAGTTTTGGTCGCGGGTGGGTCGCGGGCTCTCCACCTCCACCTGGAAGGAATTAAACACAGCCCGCCTCAGGCGCGGTAAATTTTGATTTGTGCACTGAATGCGGTTTGGGTCGCAGGTTCTCCACCTGGAACGGATGCAAAAGAAACCCGCCGCAGGCGCCGAAGTTTTGGCTTATTCAGTGAACGTAGTTTGGGTCGCGGGTGGGTCGCGGGCTCTCCACCTCCACCTGGAAGGAATTCAAAAACAGCCCACCGCAGGCGCTGAAAAGTTTTGATTTGTACACTGAACGCGGTTTGGGTCGCGGGTGGGTCGCAGGTTCTCCACCGGGAAGGAATGCAAAAGAAACCCGCCGCAGGCGAGAAAGTTTTGGATGGGTCGCGGGTGGGGTCGCGGGTTGGTCGCGGGTGGGTCGCGGTGGGTCGCGGGTGGGTCGCGGGTCGGTCGCTGGGTGCGTCGCGGGTGGGTCTCGGGGTGGGTCGCCGGTGGGTCGCGGGTGGGTCGCCGATGCGAAAGAAACCCGCCGCAGGCGCCGAAGTTTCGGTTTGTTCAGTGAACGTAGTTTGGGTCGCGGGTGGGTCGCGGGCTCTCCACCTCCACCTGGAAGGAATTCAAAAACAGCCCGCCGCAGGCGCCGACAAGTTTTGATTTCTACGTGCACTGAACGCGGTTTGGGTCGCGGGTGGGTCGCAGGTTCTCCACCTGGAAAGAATGCAAAAGAAACCAGCCGCAGGCGCCGAAAATTTTGGGTGGGTCGCGGTCGCGGGTGGGTCGCGGGTGGGTCGTGGTGGGTCGCGGGTGGGTCGCGGGTGGATCGTTCGGTGGGTCGCGGGTGGGTCTCGGGGTAGGTCGCCAGTGAGTCGCCGGGGAGGTCTCGGGGTGGGTCGAGGGCGGGTCGCGGGGTGGGTCGCCGGTGGGTCGCGGGTGGGTCGCGGGGTGGGTCGCGGGGTGGGTCGCGGGTGGGTCGCGGAGCGGGTCGCGGGTGGGACGACGACAATAACAAACAACATTTCCAACAACAGCAACAACAACAACAACAAGAATCCGCATCGCGGAATGTCTCTTCAGCCACGCACCCAGGGACAGTGAATGACCGTTCGGCTCAGCCCTCTCACTCTGATCTTGCCTTTGGCTTGTCGTCGACGAGGGTCGCGCGAGTCGTTGACGAGGATGTGCGACCAGATAAGTAAGACCAAGTTGTCGAAGAAAGTTGGTTCACACCGTCAGCCCAAGCATGGTTGCGTTGTGGTCCAGATCGCCTCGTGACGGTGCAGAGCGCGGCCCGATGCCCATCGCCTCAGCCAGAGGCTTACAGATTGGGCTCGGCGTGGAGGGCCAGGGGGGGGGAGCAGGAGAGCCGTGGAGGGGAGAGCGACGTGCGGCCAGGCCTGGGACGCGCAGCTGAGCCGGGTCAGGCAGGGCGCCCAGCCGTCGGAGGCCGTGGGTTGTGAGACCATCCCGGACGATCTGCCCGCGGAAGGCCCCGATCAACCGATCGATCAGGAGCCGGGGCGGCCGGTCGGGCTCCCGATCAGCACGATGTCTTTGCGCGGCGGGGCGGGGCGGGGGCGCGCTCCCGAGACCGGGAGGAGCGCGTTTGATCGATCGCCTAGCTGGGGCACCCAGCGTTGTCGTTTTGGGTTTTCCTGAGCCCGAGGCCTTCGTCGGCCCTGGCATTCGGGTGAGGAGTCGGAGGATGAGGAGGAGGAGGAGGAGGAGACAGAGACAGAGGACGACGGTGAGGAGGCTTCGGACGAAGAGAAGAACGAACAGGAGGGGAGGAGGCACAGCAGGGAGGGAGCTTCCTGGGAGAAGGGCTTCGTAACCGAAGTTCGAGCTCAGGCCCACGGGCGTGTACGGCGCCGCCGTCGCAGGCGAATCCTGCAGAGGTCCTGATCGTCTCATCCTACCTGCCCGGCAGTCCGTCACAATAATGGAATACGGACAAGCACTTCTCGACTACATGCAAGCACGACCCTTCGCAGTTGTCATTGTTGGCCCAATGCGGTCTCCCGATCGTTGAACGCGATGTGATAGCAGCGACTTGCGAGCTTGAGTGTGGCACCTCTCCCACCCTGCGCCCCCCACAGCCACCGCGCACGAAAGGCCAGTCTTGTTTATTGGGTCACTCTTGCGTGTGGCCGAACCCAGACTTCTGACGTTGTGTTTGTCCCAACCGTCCTGTGGTGTCGAGTCCTCTTTTTGAGGGGACAGCTCCCCGCGTCCCCACTCCTCCCTCCCTCATCCTCCATCCTCCCTCCTTCCCTCCTCCCATCCCTGCCTCTGCCCTCCGCATGGCCATGTCGGCACACCCCTCACACGTTTCGTGGCCCCGCAAGGAGCTCCACCGAAGGCCCCAGTGACACCGTCCACATGTAGGCGTCACACCATACCCCTCGCACATGTCATAGCCCCACGCGGAGCTCGACCTAAGGCCCCAGAAGCACCGTCCATATGCGGCGTCACGCCCGTTTTGGCACAGCCCCTGCACGTTTCGGAGCCCCATGGGGCATATGGAGTTCTACCTAAGGCCCCAGAGGCACCGTCCACCTGTGGGCGTCACGCCCATATCGCTATACAGATCACAGGTTTCTTGGCACCAGTGGCACCGTCCGCATATGACGTCACACCCACTTCGGCACATCCCTCAGACGTTTGGTGGCCCCACACGGAGGTCCACCTAAGGCCCTAGAGGCACCGTCCATCTGCGGGCGTCACCGTCACGTCCGCTTTGTAGCCCCATGGGGAGTTCCACTTAAGGCCCATTTAGCACCGTCCATATGTGGGCGTCGCACCCGTTTACGTAGGCACATCCATCACACGCTTCGTGTCCCCACAACAGCTCCACATAAAGCCCCAGTGGCACCGTCCACATGCAGGCGTCACGCTATGCTCGGCACGCCCCTCACACATGTCGTGGTCCCACAGGGAGCTCCACCGAATTCCCCAGAGGCACTGGGCGTCAAGTCCGTTTCGGCACACCCCTCACACGTTTCGTAGCCCATTAGGGAGCTCCACCGAAGGCGCCAGAGGCACCACATGTGGGCGTCACACCCGTTTCGGCATACCCCTCACATTTTTCGTGGCCCCATTGGGAGCTCCACCGCAGGCGATACCCACGCCTGCGGCACTCACAACTGGATATTTCTGGATCCTTCGCCAGGATGTTTTTTCAAAGCGTGGACCCTCAATCGCATCTGCCTCTTCCCAGGGACCAGCTTTTCATCCGGAGTCGATGTTTGATGATATCGGGACCCGGTAATTAAGTGTGCCTGGAAGTTGCCCCTCTTGCTCCTCCTCCTCCTCCTCCTTCTCGTCCTCCTCCTCCTCCTCGTCCTCCTCCTCCTCGTCCTCCTCCTTCCCGGGCTGGCCCTCTAAAAGGGCAGGACACCCTCTTAGAAGCCTTCCCTGTCTTCCCGGGAGCCCTCTCAGGAGATTCTGAACCCTGCCAGGACCCGCCTTCCTCCGAAGGATTCCGCCGCGCCCCCCTGTGTGCGCCGCCGATATTCGCCCTCCTCTTCCTCAAGATCCTCCTCCTCCGCCCCTGGCAAAACGACGGAAGGCTTCTGGCCATTTTCGGTTGCCAGGGCCGTGAAGAAAAAAACATCAGGATGAGAAGCCAGGCCCCAGGAAGGGGTCCAGGCCTCTGGGGGGCCACGTTGTGAAAAGAACACGATGTCGGATATCTGGGTCCACGCTCATCCGAAGTCACAGATTCTTCATGACGTGAGCCCCTGGGGATCTCGAAAGCTTCCTCGGGGGCTGGTTTTTCATCGGCCCAGGGGGCCGGGAAACTTCCCGGAGGCCGAAAATTTGGGACATCGTCCGTCGCGATTTGATTTGCGACGCCCAGGTCTGAGGGCACACCCTTCCCCAGAAGTCCAAAATCCTGTCCCCCAGGGCCAGATGTTCATCATGAGTTGTTTTGTTGATGGTCTTGGGGCCCAGAGAGGGGGCCAGAAACAGCGAAGCATATCCGCACCGAGGGCTGGGCTTTGTGCGCGCCGTCGATCGTCTTCCCTTCTGACTTTTGAGGCAGGAAAAGCTGGCGGCCGAGCAGCAGATCGAGGCCCTCGACAAGGAGCTTGCGCAACTGCACGAGGCCCTCACCGTTAGATCAGTCTGCAGGGCTCTTCTGTTTCTCGAGTGGGAGGTTGCGATGAGGAGGAGGAGGAGGAGGAGGAGGAGGAGGTCCCTGGACTTTGTGCGTCTTGAAGAAATGACGACGGGAAGTGTTCGCACTTGTTCTGCCTCTGGGGGCCCTCGCTGGGCCCCAGGGCCGTCAAGAAACTACCAGGATGAAGAGCTGGTCCCACGGAAAGGGGTCCAGATCCTTGGAGGGCCACGTTATGGAAATACAACGACGTTGATGTTTCTGGGGCTTGCTGCTAGAAGCAAGCTGGCAAAGTTATTCCTCAGTGGCCGTCTGTTAATGATGGCAGTCATGCGCACTAGCCAACTGGGTGCCGCACGCCAGCCACTTCTTCAGGTCAAGGCTTTCCCCCAGAAGTCATCACGCCCCTTCCTGCCCGAGGAAGCGGCACGCTTCGCCGAGAGAGGCCTTCCCGCTGCAAGGGTGCCTGCACGGGCGCAGGAGCGAGAGGCGGTACGCGGCCGTGTTGTTGGGGGCCGTCGCGCGCGGCGCCAACAGCTTGCACCTCCCCCTCCCCCCCCCGCTCGCCAGAGGAAAACCGCCGCACCGATCGCAGATGACAAGTTGTCCAGCCCGGTGGAGGTCGTGGCCATTCACATCGGACGACGCATCGACAAAGTCAGTGGAATCCTGGGGGGCGGCGAGGGAGAAACCACACTGAACCGAACTCGCGCCAGTCCATGATTTCTTTGAGGGGGGGCACGTGGGGAAGCTACAACCAACCCACCCTACGAGAAGAAAAGGCGGACCAGGAGCACGAGCAGAAGTGGAAGGTGTGAGATCCTTGGGAACGTTCGAGGCTACCCTGGGGGCTGCTGGGACCGTCTGAGGCTGCCCTTTGGGCATCCTGGGAGTCTTGAAAAAAGCCTTGGACGGCGACGGCGAAGCAGCGGCGACGAGGCGGCGACGGCCAGCACTGAGCCGCCAAACCGACACAGAAGCACAGGCGACGGGCGGCGACGAGGCGGCGACTGGGCGGCGACGGTCGGCGCGGAGCCGCCAGACCGATACACAGGCCCAGTGCTTTAGACCAGAAGCAAGAACCACTAGGGACAAGCACTGTTTGGGGAACATCGGTGATGTTGGCTTGTCGAGGCCCTCGTGGGGGTCCTCTTGGGGGAAGCGAGGAAGTTTCGAGCGGGAGCGTCGTTATTGCAAGAGGGCCCGTTTGCCATGTCGAGGCGAGAGTGTCACTTTGCGCAAAAAACAGAGTATCAAGCGGGAGCGCTGGTTCTGTTGCAGGGCCAGTTTTCGGTGGCGAGCAAGGAAGTGAGCATGTCTCGAGCGTGAGCTTCGGTTTCAACGATAATGTTGCCGTTGCTGGGGCGCAAGCGCCAGAGCGCATCGGCCAGGCTCACTAATGTTAAGTGTTTGGTACTTTAGATTCAGCAGCAAAAAGACTTTAGAATATTCCAATCCCCACTGATCCTCCTCCTCCTCCTCCTCACTGCTACTCGTTATCCTCCTCAATCCCATCTCAAAATTTGTCTCTTGCACCTACCCCGTGGCGCACCATGGCTTGAACTGCGCGGCGGGTCCGTTGCGAGGACGCCGCAGGGACCCGAAAATATCGGGAACCACCTTTAGTTCTCTACATGCCTTCGGTCTTCCTTCTTCTCCTCCACCTCCTCCTCCTCGTCCACATCCGCATCCTCATCCTCCCCATCCATCATCCCTCCTCCTGCTATTTACCTTCCTCCCTTCTTCTTCCCTCTCACTCCCT